AAAAAAAAAAAAAAAAGAATTTTTAAGGTACATTGTAGACGCGTTCATATTGTCCGTGTTGATTGAACTACGAAGGAGTCACGGAATAAGTTGGATGTGCTCTCTTATTCAAACACAGAAACCAATCATTTTCTTTGTATCTGTATTTTGGGCAATCCATACCCGAAATGACCAACTGTTGACTTATGGCATCATTTCTTTAGTGTTGCTAAGATACATAGCCCTGCATAGCAAGACAGTTATAATGGTAACTGTCGAAAGGGGTAAATAAGGCATGAAGATAGAGTGCCCATGACAACTTGATGAGAATAGACGTCGCACAAAAAAGACATCAAAATGAGATAAGACCTATTGTTTTTCGCAAAGCTGCATGATCCAGAGCACATCAAAACAAACAAGTCTTGACCAAGTGAAAATGGCTTACATTCAAATAACTTTATCGTCATTCTCTTGTCATTCGTTGATTATAAAAAGCGTGTTTTTTGTTATTCTTTCTCTTTCTTTTTTTCATTTTTTTCATTATCAAAATGATGCGAGCACCGTCCTTGCTTATGTATTCAAAACTCATGTCCAAAGACAGAGAATCCGAGCCTCTCTGCTATGAAAATGACATGAAGAAAATGCCATGTCGAAAGGATAGCGGCTATGATAGTATATCTTCACCTATTGAAATGCCTTATCCGCTTACTTCTTTGGACGTCTTGCAAGAAGCCAAAGCCGTGTTGAGATATAGTATCCCTCTTGCCATTACATTTTTCCTTGGGTATAGTACGCGCGCTACTGATGTATGGTTCTTGGGAAAACTAGGTCCACAAGGTAATGAGAAGAAAAAAAAATTGGGCATTCTTCATTTTAATTCCATCCTTCCCTTTATATAGCTATGGCAGTGTCAAGTCTCGGCCATCTCTTTATTACGGTGACAGGAATATCGATTGGTAATGGTATTTTAACAGGTAAAGAAAAAAAGGAAGCTGTAATTCGCAAAGTTTTAACCCCTTTTTCTCGAGTAGCCATTGATACCTTAGTAGCTCAAGCCTTTACGGGAGCAAAGCATCACCATACTGTTGGTATTATCCTTCAAAGAGGTTTGCTGGTATCATTTATTTTTGGTATTATGATTTCCGTCTTGTGGTAAGCCCAAACATAGACACAAAGTTTCTTTAACTGAAACGATTACAAGGGCCAACTCAGAGTTTATCTTGGTTTTGATGGGGCAAGACCCAATGTTGGCAAATATGGCACAAACATATATCATTATCTTGATTCCTTACTTGTTTATTTGTTATGCAAATACAGCACTAAGAAAGTTCCTTCAGTCTATTGGTAAGTGGTGTTTTTCTTATCAATGGCTCTATCTTATTCTGTGATAGGTGAAATGAAAGTGACATTATACCTTGTATTCTTTTTGCTTCCTGCGAATGTTGTTTCAAATTACTTCTTTCTTGAATACTTGAACTTGGGCTACATTGGCGCTGCTCTTCATATAGTTTTCATATCTGCATTTATTACGTTGTTATACACTATTTATTTAACTTGCATCACAAACTTAATACAAGTATACTGGCCTGGGCTGACACTGAATGCCTTTGGAGGTTGGAGTGAATTTCTAAGGCTCGGTAAGAAGCGACGAAACTGTATACCATGTTATAAACAATCGCGTGCTGACAATTACTAAAATAGGCATTCCCGGTATGCTCAGTTTATCGACCGACTGGGCCTTCGAAGTGTGCGCTCTCTTGACAGGCGTTCTCGGTCAGACAAGTTTAGCCGCTCAGTCAGTCGTTCTTACGATCAACACCTTATTGTTGATGATACCCACGTAAGATAGAGAAATAGAATCCATGAACCATCTCTCTTATAAATGTTGATTAGCGCACTGTCCACTGGTATGGCTGTACGCTTAGGACACCTTTTGGGCGCAAATGAGCCAAGAAAGTCAAATTTATGTTTCATGGTATCCGCTGGTATCGGTGTATTATGTACATTTATCAATGCGCTTGCTATTTTTACTTATCGATCACAAATTGCTCATCATTTCAGCTCGGATTCAGAGGTTGTTGAGGCCACTATAAATTTGTTACAAGTAGCTAGCGCATGCCATTTTACCATGGTAATATCCCACACATATACGCTCAGTTCACTCTCCGCTAATCCAGTTTTGTTTTTTGTAGGGGATCGGCATTGTCTTTTCATACGCACTCAATGCCTTGGGCAAACAGACTATTGTGGCATCATTGAATGTGGTTAGCTACTACATGATTGGTTTACCTTTTGGCATCTACTTAACCTACCAGTGTGACTGGGGACTTGAAGGTATCTGGGCTGGTGTTGCTCTTAGTGGTATCGTCAAAGTACTATGTGAGTTTAGTATCTTGACTTACTTGGTTGATTGGCGGCATGAATGTCAACTAGCCACTAACCGAATTCATGATCAAGAATACGCTACTTCTTTTATTGTTTAAAATCCCGAGCTGTGACGTTTTAATCATAAAATTTTATTTTTTCTACACTTTCTTTTTCTGCACCCCCATTTCTCTTCTCTCTCTCTCTCTCTCTCTCTCTCTCCTTTCTAAACCTTTTTTTCTTTTGTGTGTGTTGAAATGGGAAGCAGCGATGGACATCGAGTTTATCTTGGAAATCTCCCAGTAGATATTTCAAAATCAGAGATAGAGTCTTTATTTAAAAACTATAACCCTGTTGAAGTTACTCTTAAAGAGAGATTTGGATTTATAGAATTTGAGAAAAGAATAGATGCAGAAGATGCCATTCACGACTTTAATGGTAAAAAAGTATCAGGCAGCAGGTGAGAAAATGCAGTTGGTTTTTATAAAAAAAAGTCGCTAATAAACATATTGTCGATAGAATTGTTGTAGAGAGAGCCCTTGGTCATCGTCGACGCGAAAAGTAGGTAATATATAAGGAAATGTAGGTGACAGTTGTATTAATTATAAGCAGCCGTAGCAGAGAGGAACGTAACAACCGTGTTGTCATCAAAAATCTTCCACCCAAGACAACTTGGCAGGTAGAAATCACCTAGTCGTTAGTTTATTTTCAACGGTCTTATATCTTGAATAGGAAGTCAAAGATTTTATGCGTAAAGCTGGACGCGTCACGTTTGCAGATGTATTGAAGGATTGTGATGGAGAAGGGTAAAAAAAAATCAAGTGATAAAGAATGAAATTAACAAAGAATATTAGCGTGGTTGAATTTGCTCGCAGAGACGATATGAAGTACGCATTAAAGGAATTGAATGGCGCCAAATTAAATGGTTACCGCCTTAAATTGGAAGAAGCTGTAAGTTATGCTGCAAACAAAAAAAAAAAAGAACAATGAATGACGCTTTTTAAAATAGTCGAGTAGAAGAAGAAGATCCTCTCGCAGCCGCTATTACAGTCGTAGCCGATCTCCTCGTCGCAGTCGAAGCCGCACTCGTAGTCGTAGTGAATCTCGTAGCCGATCCCCTCGTCGTAGCAGATCCTTTGACCGTAGCCGATCCTCTCGTCGTGATGATAGCGCCTCTCGTTCTCGCTCACCTGAACATAGAAAAAGCAGATCACCTGAAGATTTGAAAGTTTACAACGGAGAAGAAACTGAAATGAACCCAAACCCTGTTCTCGGCGATGAAGAAGAAGCCCCAGCTATGGATCAAGCCGAGTAACTTTTTTCGATGTGGTATGTTTAACAAAGTTGTGGAAATGATAAAAGAACAAAGAAATAAAGAACGTGTCTTTGATCCCAGTTTGTTGTTCTGTTGTACATGGTTAATTTTCAATACGTTACTCAAAATGTTTATTGTGTAAATTTCAGTCTTTTTCTTTGTGTGAGTACCTTTCTTTCCCTTTCCTTGATCTTTTCAACCCATTCCCTTCTTTTTTCTTTCATTTTATGATTTTTGATTTATGATAAAAAGGAAAATAAAACTTTATTTCATTCATTTCCTTTTAGTCGTTTTCATTGCCCTTACATGCATTCATCTCGTAGAAGCTAATGTTCGACAACGAGATGTTGCCATGCCAACAAGTATAAATAATGTAGGGTTACCTTTTTTTTTTAATTTTCCATTGAAAGCAGTAAAGTAATAATAACTCTTTTTTTATTTTGATCTTCAGGGACATGGATCAATTTATACTTTGAAAAAAAGGGCAGCGGAAGATGAAGAAGGCAACAGTGAAGATACAACCAAAGCGTCTGAAAAGGAAGCAAAGAAAGCTTCTGATAAGGACAATGAAACCAAAAAATCCACCAAAACAAAGCCGACTTCTACTGAAAAGCACACTTCAACAGAAAAACATACTTCGACCGAAAAGCACACTTCAACCGAAAAGCACACTTCGACTGAAAAGCACACTTCGACTGAAAAGCACACTTCGACTGAAAAGCACACTTCGACTGAAAAGCACACTTCGACTGAAAAGCCGACAAGTAGTAAGCACACTACCACTGAGAAGCCGACGACTACTGAAAAGCATACCAAGACCAGTAAGCACGCGACTACTGAGAAACCGACAACAAGCAGTAAGCATACTACTACCGAGAAGCACACTACAACTGAAAAGTCGACCACAAGCAGTAAGCATACAATTACTGAGAAGTCGACAACAACAAAAAAGCATACAGCTACTGAAAAGTCTACGACTTCCAAACATGAGTCAACTTCCAGTAGCACGCACAAGGAAACCAGCACTGCTACTCACAAGTCAACAGTTACTGAGAAGCCGAGCACCTCTTCCAAGAAGGAAACAACAACGACTAAAAAAGAAACAACTACAGATAGTCCAGCTCCCACTACCCACAAGTCTACTGAGAAACCAAGTACGGCGACCCACAAGAGTACTACAACCACTGCTGAGAAATCAACGACTACCGAACACAAGTCAACTTCTAGCACACACAAGGAAACACCTACGACTTCCTTGCATAAATCGTCCAGTACTACCACCGAAAAGCACACTACAACTGATAAGCCTAGCGAGAGTCATAGCACAAAAACAAGCACAGTAACCTCCCACAAAGAGACTACAACCAGCAGCGAGAAGGCTACGCCTACTACTCATTCCAAGTCCCCAGTTTCCAGCAGCAAGGACGCTACAGCTACGACTCATCATACTACAACTAGTAGTAGCAAGGAGCCCACCACAACTCATCACAGTAGTAGCAGTAGTAGCAGTGAAAAACCTACGCCTACCACTCACTCGACAACTGCAGTTTCTAGCAGCAAGGACTCTACCACGACTCACCGTACTACAACTAGTAGTAGTAAGGAGTCCACCACAACTCATCACAGTAGTAGCAGTAGTAGCAGCAAAGAGCCTACACCTACCACTCACTCGGCAACTACAGTCTCTAGCAGCAAGGACTCTACAACTACATCTAATCATTCCACAACCAGTAGCAGTAAAGCTCCCACTACAACGTCTCACCATTCAACGGTCAGTAGTACCAGTAGCAGCGAAAAACCTACATCTACCACTCATTCTACAACCTCAATGTCCAGCAGCAAGGATTCTACAACCACAGAATCACACACACGCACTAGTACAACCACTGCTACTAACGAGCCTACGACCACTGATCGGGGAATGCCTACTACGACTGATAGCAGCTCTACCAGATCTGAAACGACATCCTCCAGCACATCAACAAGCGGCCGTTCTACAACTACAATAGAACCTACTGCAACAGCAACTACAACATCGTCAGATGATAATACGACCAAGAGCAGCAGTACTTCTGGTTCCACAAGCGCAGCTTCTGATGTAACAACTTCTACGCCTACAAGCGCCACTACTGGTAGCTCAACTGTAACTGATACCGATACACCTACTCCTACTATTAGTAGTAGTAAAGGACCAACGTCAACTGATGACAGTAGCTCATCCACTCCAACGCCAACTGATACCGACAGTACTACAAAGGGCATCAGTTCGACAACTACTGGCAACAGCGAGACACCTACACAAACTACTAGCACCAAGGAACCAACGTTAACTGATAGTAGCAGTTCGTCCAGTCCCACTCCTACTAGTTCTAATGATAGCACTACGAAAGATACTAGTTCAACAATGACCAGCGCCACTGAAAGTACTACGAAAGATACTAGCTCAACAACTGGTAGTAGCGATACAGCCACTCCAACGTCAACCCATGACAGCACGCCTACTCCAACGCCTACTGACAACACAACTACTGATAGCTCATCGACATCAAGTGATAAAAGCACAGAAACGCCTACTGCTACTACCAAGGGTGAAACTACTACAACCGGAGACAGTAGCTCGTCGAGCCCCACAGCTACTATCAGCGGGGACAGTACTACCAAGGACACCAGTTCGACAACAAAGGAGACTAGCTCAACGATGACCGGTAGTACTGATACGCCTACACCAACTACATCTGATACCAGTCAAACAACTTCGAGCTCCAGTACCAATGAAACCTCCAAGCCCACACCAGCGCCTTCTAGCTCTACACCAACGCAGACTTCTACCGATGACAGTCGAACAATTACAGCGACGTCAGACACCTCATCTACCACTAGCGATTCATCCACTACAGAGAGTCCATCGCCAACAACTCATGAGTCTACCAAAACGACGAGCTCTGAAGAAACGCCTACCAGTACTGATAGCAGCTCGACCAAGGAACCTACACCAACAACTACTGCAGACTCAACTACAAGTACAGACAGTACAAGCACTGAGACTTCTACTGGCAGTAGCAGTTCTACGGAAAAGGAAACGCCTACTGCCACTGTTACCACCAACACAAGCAGTAGTAATGAAACTCCTAGTACACCTACTCCTACGAGCACTGAAACAAGTTCATCTACCACTGAATCAACAGCTACTTCTACCGAAAAGACGACAGCGACAACTGAATCATCTACTACGGATACTGTAACTAAGACGGCAACTGAAAGCAGCTCTACTGAAACATCATCCAGCACAAATACTGATTCTTCAACGACTGATAGCACAGAAACAACAACAACGACAGCTACTACTACTACTACTACTACTACTACTACTACTACTACTACTACTACTACTACTACTACTACTACTACTACTACTACTACTACTACTAGCCCAACGACCACAACAACAACAACTGATGCAAAGAGTAGTAGTAGCAGTACATCCACCATGTTTGTTCCTACGTCAACTTACCGATACCAGACGCTCTCTTGGCTGACTGCTCCTTTCAGTATTCCACCAGCATCCAACAGTCCATCCCCTGCAACACCTTCTCCCACCCCTACTTCTGGTAGCATTCCTGAGTACATTGCACCCAATGTAGATGCCATCATTCCATGTAAGAACACACATTTGTTTATCCTTTAAGCCTTTTAACTCATTCATTTTTAGCTACAAGCTCATATGTTACTATGAAATTCTTGCGCCTGTCTTATACTCAAATGGTTCACGATGCTGTGCTCACGGCTCAATTTGTTCAAACACTGCCTGTATACATCAGTAAATCACTCAACATCTCTACCGATGATGTGATTGTTGTCACTATCACTAGTGCTCCCGCCGCAAACAAGAGAAAGAGAAGCACAGATAGTGATGATGGCGTGGTCGTATCTATGGCTATTCCCTCTGATGAGGTACCTAAACTTCAAGACATGATCAAGAATCACAACTCGACGCTTTACTCCCCAAGTAACGGTCAACTAGCAAGTTTGGTGGATCCAAGCTATTTTGTGGCTAACACCGCAACCTCTGGCAATGTCTCCAGTCGTCAAAGCGTCGATGACCCCAATAGTCCCACCAGTTCATCAAGTTCAGGAGGTGGTCTTTCCAAGGGTGCGCTCATCGGTATCTGTGTCTCTGTGGGTATTATTGTGTATGCTGCAGCTACTGTGGTCGTTTACAAGGTCTATCAACGAAAGAAGGCAGCCAAAGAACAGCAAGCGATGGCAGAGCATGAGATTTTTGCACAGAGTATCTCGGAACCTATCATGCAGGATAACTCACTGGGATGGAATAATTCACACATGATTCCCCAACCACCACATCTTGCTCAGTACCGTCACTATGGTAACGCAAGTGGAAGTAATCACCAGTGGTAACAAAAAACCTTATTAGAACTCTTCCCTTTTATCCTGTCTCCTTATAATTTTTGTATAATGAATTTTTGTAACTTATAAAAAAAAACATGAAAAAGTACTTTCTTTTTTTTTGTGTGTGTATCTTTGTTTATTCTTCATCTTCTTCAGTACCAAAGTAGCGATCTATTAAACAAAGGATGAGTTCCAAAAAAAGGAAAAAAAAAAAGTGATCTAGAAAGTACCTCCAAAATTACCAATGCCAGGTACAATCCAAAGTTTTTCCTTGTTAAGGTCTGGATCCACCATAGATGTCACGATCTTCACACGAGGAAATGCATTATTAATTACAGTCAGTCCGATTTGTGCAGCAAGAAAAGACACAAAAATGATTCGATCCTAAAGGGACCATAAGAATAAAATAAGAATATCATTCATTTCATTACCTCAGGGACTTCGTGATCCAGTAGGACACGTATTGCCATTAAAGCAGCAGCTCCTGTTCCAACCATAGCATCCATCAGGACAACATTGTGATCCCTCGCGCTATTAGGTAATTTGCAGTAATGAAGTTCTGGGTCCCCAGTATTTGGATTTGTCTGGATCAATAATTTTCCAATGACAGCGTCACTGAATACACGTTTTAAGCCTGCCTCCATGGTTCCACCAGCACGAAGGATGGAGACACCACAGATCTTTCCAAATTTAGTTTTCCTAATGTGTCAATCGTGTGTCACTTTACCTTTTGGCTATATCTTAATCCTTCATACTTTGCACCTATAGGGGTTGTCACAGTTAATGGCTCTGAAGGAAGCAAATTGATTGCGCTAATTGCGTAGACCCGTTCGTTAGTGATTCTTTTTATTCTTATTACAGATACTTTACTATTCCATCAACAAGACAGCCAATCGGTCAGCATAAAACACGAACTCGTCTCTTTCTGTATTGTGATCTCTCAGGATGGTATGAATGCCTTTGATTTGGTTTGTCGTTGGCAACACATGGACGTTGCTGGGTACTTCTTCTTTGACAGGTGTATCTAATAGATTCCAACGGAAGTTAATGACATTCTCGTTTAATTGTGTTTGGATGTGCTTAGTCATCAAATCGATAGCAATAACATTTTCTAAGCCTCTTGGAATGATCTATAACGATAGGACAAATCAGGGTCTATAACATCCTAATAGAATCTCAATACGTTACCACATCAGCAAATTTCATGGTGGGCCTAACATAACTGTCGTAAGAAGGCTTAACGTATCTAGTATATTGCTAAAGTGATATGAGTATACTATCAATGCATGTTTCTAGAATCACTTTACATCCAAAATGCCTTCTACATCACGTCCTCTATAGGTTGTATCTCTTTGTAGTCGCCTTGCCAACTGAATATCTGCATCCGTATCCACAAAGATCTATTATATGGTGAGGTACTTTCCTTTAGGAAATAAGAAGGACTTACCTTGACATCCATCATATCTCTAATTCGTTTATCGTATAATGCAAGAATGCCTTCAAAAATGATCACATTGGCTCCATAAATAGTCACTGTCTTTTCCTCTCTTGAGTGGGTAGAAAAGTTATAAATGGGTACCGTCACTGATTTCCTAAAAAGAAATGGTTCAGATGAATTAGGTTCAGAGTGATAATAACTACATACCCTTCCTTTAACTTCTTCAAGGTGTCATAGAGTAAATCATAATCGAATGCAGATGGATGATCAAAGTTGAATAAGCTATTGACTGTCAACAAACAGCTTATCTGAGTGGTCATTCTTACCTTTGATGAGCCAATTTACTTTGTTCAGGAGTCAAGATATTATAGAATGAATCCATAGAAACAATGACAACCCATGGGACATTCAAGTTTTTCAAAACGCGCCTGTTGTGTGTATCCATTGTAAAAAAAAAACTTAAGCTGCTTTATTTCTCTTTTCTCTTTGCTTACTCTGCAACACTTGTTTTTCCACTTGCACTTCCACCTGTAGAATGCTTAGTTTCTTGTAAACAATATCATTTATTCATTTACCTGCAATGCCAATTAAATAAGGATCGGCAATAGATCCGTCAGGACTGAATAACTGATTAATAAAAAGAGAATGACTACCATCAAGTACTACTACTACTACTTACTGGTACCAAGGTCTAATTTAGGCAATGGTTTAGTTTTTATATAATGTTTATTCATTCGAAAAATACCTTCTTCCTTGTGAACATAATTGTAATGTTTTCTTATTGTTGTTATTCATAATTACTCAAGCACACACACAAACACGCAGACACACAAGAACACGTATAGAAAAAAAGAAAAAGTTTTTTTTTTTTTTCTTTCGGGATGAAAAAAAAAGTTTATTTCAGAGGTCGATATTTCTAAAAGAATTTGTTTAATAAACAGAACCTATTTGGTTGGTATAACTACTTACAAAGCGACCACGGCCTTTGACTTCTACATTTGGATCATAGTAGTTCAATCTTGGTCGACTACGCCTTTCAGTCGGCTGTCGTCTATCAGGCGATGTCTGATGACGTCTTTCTTCTTTTTTATCATGACCTACTGAACTATCCTTTCTCTCTTTATATTCAACTGAGCTATCTCTTCTTTTACTCTCTTTATGTTCAACTGAGCTATCTCTTCTTTTAGATTCTTTCTTCTTTTTTCTCTTCTTATCCTCCTTTTTAGAATGTTTGCGATGCTTCTTTTTTCGTTTCTTCCTTTCTTCTTCGGAATCACTGCCGCTTTCATCCGAACGAGCTCGCTTTTTTCTTTTATCACTACTACTACTTCTACTATCACTATCGCTATCCTCACTATCATCACTTTTATCATCGACTTTTTTGATTTTTCCGCCCTTGACTGAAAGACAAAATTAAGCTTTCATATGATATAATTCTAAATAGACTTACTTATTGTTCCTGGAGGCAATTTTAATACTAATTCACCACAGTTGGCAATCATGACATTATGAAGAGGTCTATCATTATCATCAACTGGCTCATTTTCCATCATTTCTACAATATTGTAACCAGAAACCACTTTTCCAAAGACGACATGTTTACCATCAAGATGAGGTGTGGGTCGTGTGGTAATGAAGAATTGCGATGATTGAGTATTTGGTCCACGATTAGCCATACTCAGTAAACCGTGAGTATCATGTTTTCTAGCAAAGGATTCATCAGAGAACGTAGCGCCATAAATGCTTTCACCACCCGTGCCGTTACGGCGCGTAAAGTCGCCTCCTTGACACATGAAGCCCTTGATGATTCTAAGTGATGTATTAATATATATATATATATTCAACAATCATTCATCAAATACCTGTGGAATATAGATCCTTTGTAATGTAAGGGCATATTGCTTACTTTTCCAAGCCCTTTTTCTCCTGTACAGAGTGCACGAAAGTTTTCTGCCGTTTTAGGCACTTGATCGGCAAATAGTTCAAATACTATTCTACCAACTACATTACAATTATCAAACTGTGTCTAATTTAATCGTTTTTTCTTACTTCTGTTGCCATCAATGTCAATGTCGAAGAACACACGGGGATTAATCATTAAATAAAAAAGAAAAATCAAGCGGCGGACTGTCTTTATTCCTTTTTCTTGTTCAATAAAGTAAAATGACTGATGAAAACAAAAATATTTCAATGCAATTGTGGATCTCAAAGAATGCAGGAGTATTTGTAAAGTTGATGACCTTTACAGCAGCCATCATTGCTTTTCCTATTGTGACATTTTTCCTTACACTTCACAGCTTATTTGAAGGTAACAAACACACAATAAATAAAAAATGAAAGAGATAAAGAGAGAAGGATATTAAAAAATAAAAATAAAAAAAAGGCAATACAACCTATGCAGCTATTGCAGCAGTTATTATGGTCAATTTGATATTAGCCTTATATATCATTACAGCTTATTTTGAAACGCCCTTGGATGAAGAAAAGAGACCAAAGAAAGAATAGGTCTACACTTTATTCACAGATTATTTGCACACTGATAAAAATGATAATTTCAGACAACAAATAATAATAATAATAATAAAAGAGAGCCCATCAGAAGCAAAAGAATGGGATATAAAAGAAACGATTAGTAAATCAGTTATTTACATTGATATTAAATACTTACATTATAAAGAAGAGGATTTATAATAGAAAAACAGAGAAGCAAGAAAAGTGAGTGAACATATAGAGAGATTATTAATATCTTACCGAAAGCGCATTAAAAAGGGCTGGCGATAACCAGCCCGGAGAAAGAAGGGAAAAAAGAAGCAGGCAAGAAAGAGACAAGAACCAAATGAGCGAAAGGGGTTGAAGGAGTGTGTGGGACTAAAGTTCGGTAAGAACCAAACTACCCCAGTCAACACCGAGTTAGTTTCGATGGGCAATCTATAATACTACATATTAGTTTCTTACAAGAGTAAAGAATATAACATACTTTAGGGCTAGCTGGGGAATAGCTGGTCTTACTTTTTGGCCCAAAGAAAAGAAAAAAAAGTCAATATCAGACATATGAAGTTTCTAACAGCTTTTCAATTACGTGTTATTCAAAAGTGTTGACCACATTTATTTTGTACTCAAAAATATCAAGTTCATTTTATGTATTATTACACGTTGTCTTTTAAACAATAAAGGAGACATAGAAAATCAACTAAAGTGTTGATTGTTATTGATCTTGTAATGTGTGCGAATAATTTATTTGTTACTTTTTATATAATCATTCATGACACCAGCTAAATTTAATATTAAAGAATGAAGCCGATTATCTATACTGTCTTGATATTGCTGATTATTCCACGACTCTCTCTTCTCCTTTTCCCAATCTGCTATATAGCACAGTTGTTTATGGATATGTTGAATAAGTCTGGTAATACGTGGAGATATAAAATAAACCATGTCATCTACTACTCCGACCATAAACGATAGGCAAAATAGTGTACTTATTGTTAAAAAAGTCATCGTGGTTATTGTCATAACGGATACTACACTGCCCACATTAAAGCTATATGCTATTGTTTTACTATTACTACTTGACATCGAGGGGCGAATGAAGAAAAAGAAAAGAAAAGAAAGAAGCAGCAAACAAAACAAAACAATTAAAATTCGAACCTGACACATTTCCTTTCCCAATTGGGGAGTTGCATTTCAAAGCTTATAGAAGCACATGCATCCTCTCTCTCTCTCTGTCTCTCTGTCTCTCTGTCTCTCTGTCTCTCTGTTTCTGTCTCTTCTCTCTATCCTCTTTTCCTTTCTCTCTTTTTTTGATGCGCTTAAAAGGAGAGTTTACCGTCTTGAATGTCGATATAGATTTTATTTTTAAAATGTTGGAATCCATTCAGGTAATAAACCAGATTAGTATCATCATCAGTTTGGTCATTTCTTATTATACACATGCATATTTAATAGCATGATCATTGATATGCCCCACACACTGACGAATATCAACTGTTGTTTATTGATATAGAAGTCTCCTCTTCTTTCATCCTTTCTTTAAATAAACAAACTTATCCACTTTATTCCATTGTTTATGTTGACTATTCAACACGGGTGACACCCGTACAACAGATGACTGTGATTCATATTGATAGAATCTTTTTGACGACGCACAAAATATTACAAATTTACTTTTAGCCACAAAACATCGAATATACTCCATCAAGCCGGATTCTTTTGAGTAGACTTGTTTATCCGAAGTCGACACCGAATAAATGAACAAAGAGTTTGCTTAGAGGACTCAAGCACCTGTAAGTTCTTTCTCTCTCTCTCTCCCTTTTTATAAATGAGAGCAAAAAACAATAGTGGCCCGTAGTTCAGGAACACAAATAAGAATAGTCATTAAATATATTCTGTAATCACTACAGACAATTCGGATATTAAACAGGTTACTTGACTTAAAAAAAGAGGGGGCAGAACTAGAATAGAAACAAATAAATAAAAAGCACTTTCTTCGTTTACATTCTGTGATCCAGGTTTGACCGAGATATGTGTTGTATTGACAACAGTAACAGCAAAAGTCCATTACTGACTGATTACTTTTTTTTTTTACATACAAGCTACTCTCCCAGGGTTGACTAGAGCATGAATTGTTTTGATTTTTGATATTTTCGGTCAACTTTGGATGCAGTTCGTAGAGATCTACTCACAGCCAAGTGGTCCCTTTTTCAGTACTCTGCCACCCATTAGGATATGGTAACCGGACCACCAATTTTTATGTTTGCCACTCAACAGCCCTTCTCTACAAGAGACGCTTCAACATCACATTGATACACTTTAAAGAGCAACTAATAACTTTTTTTTGTATTTTTGTGGGGACAAAATTTGCCATATAAAGTTGGTATTAAATCATGAAGTAAATAGTAATTACAGACAAGGAGCCACGTATAAAAGTAGAGTAGACCCTTGTTAATACAGTACTTTAAAAAAAAAAAGCCGAGACCATCTAAAAATCATTGAGTACCTTTTTTTTTTCTTTCGCCAGGAACCCTTTTTACATCAATGCAAATAAATTTTGTTATCAAATGATTCCTGATCAACATATAAATCATGATGACAACGATATACATCATATCGTTGAAACGGAAAGGGGATCTGAGTTACTAAATCATGTTTCGATAAACGGAATCCAAGAAAGGTAAATTGACATATTATTTAGGGAGAAGAAAGGGAAGCAATAAAAGGTTATGTCCAAGTGCTTTTCCTCCCTCTTTCTTTTCCTTTTTTATTACTTTGCCATGTCTGTTCATAACCTTGTATTGAATCCTATTTCTTTTGATTCGCCCGGAAACCTTTCGTTGATGGACGATAATCATAGTCACAGTAAGATAAACAAATAATCATATTATTGTGATAATTAAGTTGATGGTAGCATCACGTCGTAAGAATAGAAATAGACAATGTATGCCCAGTGATGATGAAGAGGATGATGAGAGGGAGTTGGAGGAAGAGGACGAGGATGATGATGACAATCGAAAGATAAAGCAAATGCCTCTTAGAAAAAGCATTCAGTTGCCTAGTGATGACGAAGAAGGTAATTTTAATTAACAGATATATTGTGCTTCATAAAAAGAGAGAAAGTAACAACGAAATTACAAGATAATCAGACACTGGATACGTTTGTGCACCATAGCAACCGATCCGCGCCCACGGTTGTCCTCAATCATCTCCAACAACGTCAACAGCAGTACCAATACCAACAAGCACGTCTCGCTCAATTCCATCATCATCCATCCTCTATGACAGGTATAGATCTGCTGACACAATTAGAGAAGGAAAAGGCAGCCAAGAAGAGAGTGACGATGAAACCGTTAAATTCACAGATAAAGATCGAAGGAGGGTTGCTAGGTCAGTTACCCGAGCAAGGAACACACAGTATCAGCTTTCAACAACTGGAACAAGAACAAATGAAAAAAAGATTTCTTGATCCTGGACTACAACAACAACAACAAAGGCGCAGTTATTATCATTCTCACTCAAGATCTCCTTCTCCTCATAAAAAATAAAGTTGTTCTAGAAAATAAAAACTTTTTTTATAAAAAGACACGTGGAATATTTATTTTGAAACGTTTTTCTCTTCTTTTTTTTTTAGTTTTTCCTCTTCTTGTGTACAGAAAAAAATAATAATAATAATGGAAAAGATTAAAGAAGTAACGAATAGGCCATTCATGTATTTTTAAAAATAATCTAAAATAAATCAATAGAAAATTGCTAGTATTAGAGCAGAAGCAGAGGCAGCCAATGCTAGAGCAGATGAATATGAAAAGAAATATAAGGAATTAGAGCAATTACAGATGAAACAGGAACATGAGATTATTTCCCTTTCAAACCAAAATAAACATCTTCAAGAAGACTTGGAGTTGGCTCATCAAAAGATCGAACAGCTAAAAGCCTTGGAAGAAGAGGATGACGATCTTAAGAAAGAAAACGATGCTGCTCAAAGAAAGATTACTTTGCTTGAACAAGAGTTGGAAAAATCAGAAAAGGCAGTGAGAGAAGCAACAAAGAAGTAAGTCCATTGCGACGTACACATCGTCTTATTGACACACAATCTTAGTTTCCGTGAGGCTGACGTAAAGGCTGAACATTTCGAACGTAAAGTTCAACAGTTAGAGACCTTATCATCAGATCAAGAGAAAAAGATTGAAGACCTGAAAGCGAAAATTATCGAGTTACAATCACAGTTGGATGAGTTCAATGCTCAGCTGGATGACATTTAATCAAATAAAATAAAAGCACATGTACTCGGCTTTATATTTATCCGCTATTTTACCTTTTTTTTTTTTTACAGAGAAAAATAGAAATTCTTTTTTCTTTCTTTCTTTATCTTTTTTTTTTAACAAACCATGTCAAAGCTTGGCACGGACGAAAATCCTATTGATACTAGTTATTATGAGCTTCTTGACGTTTCGCCAACAGCGGATGCTATGCAAATAAAAAAGGCTTACAGGTTAGTTATTTTATCAAGATAAACATTGATCGCTCATACATTCTCTCCTTTTTTTTTTTAATATAGAAAACTTGCCTTGGTAATAATAATATTTATTGATTAGATAATATGTTTATATATTTACTAAATATGAAAAATAGAAATACCATCCAGATAAAAACCAAACAACCGAAGCTGAAGAGAAGGCAAGTCTTTTTTAAATATACACAGGATGATATATTGACCTTGTTATATACAGTTTAAACAAATTTCTGAAGCTTATCAAGTGCTGTCTGATTCCCAACTGCGCGCTTATTACAACAAGTATGGTAAAGATAACGAATTGGCTCCTGAGGGAGGATTTGCTGATCCTCGAGAGTACTTTCAACAAATGTTTGGTGGTGATGCGTTTAGAAGTAGTGTACCAATAGTATACATCAAAATAAGAAAACTCATATTGTTTGTATAGACATCATTGGTGATCTAGCTGTAGGTGAAATGTTTAGCGATGCTCAACAAGAGGAATTGAACAGTCCAACCATCGAAGGTTCCGAGGGACAAAAGTCTAAGCAAGCCAATAATATGAATAAAGAACAGATTGAAAAAATGCAAAAGCAGCAACAGGAACGCATCGAAAAACTTGCAGAACATCTTATTCACAAATTAGCCATGTATACAGATTCCAAAGGGGAAGAAGAGGACGTGAAGCGATTTCAGGAACATATCAAGATGGAAGCTGAAAAGTTGAAAAAGGAAAGCTACGGTGTCGAATTACTTCATTCGATTGGAGGAGTTTATTCATTAAAGGCAAGACATTACTTGGGTATTAAAGGTGGTGGTATGCCAAGTATTTTCGTTGGGTTTAAGCAAAAGAAGCATATTGTCAAGGAACTTTGGACAACAGTAAAAGTGGCAATGGATGTGCAGCAGGCTGCCGACATGATATCAAAGGCAGAAGAATCAGGAATGGATGATTCTGAGAAAATGAAATTGGAAGAAGAGGTGTCTACAAAGGTAAGAAAGGGTGCATTCTATTTAAGTTTTTGCTCACAAGTCTTGTAAATAGACTTATAAGGCATTATGGCAAACATCCAAATTTGAAGTAGAAGCAACACTTCGCTCAGTGTGCGATAAAGTACTTCAGGACAAGGAAGTAGATGGTAAAACTCGAACAAAACGAGCTATAGCATTAAAATGGATTGGATACATTTATAAACATACAGAGGCCGAGACATCCGCTTTAGATATTCAAGTCAAGGCGTAATTGTACACTTTATTTCATAATATCTTCTAATAGTTTACTTGCTTGCTGCTTAAATACACTAGAAATACCTACGGCAGGAGCAGAAAGTGGTTCTCTACCGACGTATTGAATTACCTATAGTATATTTATAATTTACGTTTAATAAAAGTCCTTTTGATAATATGTACTATAACAATTTACCTTGTCCTTTGGAATCAACTGACTTAATCTTGGCGCCATAAATGAATAAGCACCAGCGTTCTGTGGTTCTTCTTGGCACCAGACAAATTCGTCAGCGTGTCCATATTGTTCGATTTCCTTCTTCAATTCGTTTCTTGGGAAAGGACTCAATTCCTCAATACGGATCAGTGCCACACGATCCTTCATTCCTCTACGCTCTCTCTCTTTGACAAGGTCATAATAGAATTTACCAGAGACAAAGACGACCTTTTTGACTTGATCTGTATTCTCTATTGTGTTGTCGCCCAAGACAGGTTGGAATCGAGTACCAGGGCCCATCTCATCCAAATTACTGACAGCAACCTATATAGTACGTTGAGTAAGAAACATCCTCTTGTAAGGTCAACTTACAGGAGATTTCAATAAGCTCTTGGGTGATATGACAACAAGGGGTTTGCGATACTGTCGAAGCATCTACAAAAGGAAGCAACATGAGCAAAAAAAACAGAAATTAAAAAGCGTGTGCATTTCTTACCTGTCTACGTAAAACATGGAAATATTGTGCAGGAGTAGTACAGTTTACAATGTGCCAATTAGCTGCTTGTCTATGCGCCTTGTTTACATCAAAGGGATCATTGCTCATCTATAATTTTATGCATATTATTATTAAGAGTAACCTCAAAAAAGAAATTTTAAACATTACCTGTAAGAATCTCTCTACACGACTAGAAGAATGTTCAGGACCAGCACCATCTTGACCATGAGGCAAGAGCATGACTAAACCACTCTGACGCAGCCATTTTTCTTCACCGCTAGATAAGAAGGTGTCAATGATGATCTGAGCACCATTAAAGAAATCACCAAACTGGGCCTCCCAGAGGACTAGGCGTTTAGGCGATTCAAGTGACATGCCATATTCGAAACCAAGCACAGCGAATTCAGAGAGGGGACTGTTGGCGACCTCAAAATGACTTTTAACATTTTCCATATGATTTAATGGGACTACTGCGCGCTCGGTGTCTTGACAGACAAACATGGCATGACGCTGTGAGAAGGTGCCTCTTCCAACATCTTGTCCAGAGATACGAACGTCCATGCCTTCCTTCATCAAGGAACCAAATGCAAGGGCTTCGGCTGTTGCCCAGTCAAGAGAATGGCCTTGTGAAAGCTTCTTTAATCGTTGTTCGATGTGATATTTTTGAAGACGAGGATGAACCTTGATGCCTTCGGGTGGTGTGACAGAGTATTTGCCAATTTCTTTTAATAGCTCAACATCACAACCAGTCTCTACTTGCTCCTCAGGTTGTTCCTTGATGTGCTCGATACCTCTCCAATTACCATCGAGATGATAGTTGGATGATGGCTTGTAAGACTCTGCTTCCTGAAGACCTTGCTCAAGCATCTCAACGTGACGCTGACGAACGGCTTCAACTTCGTTTTCTCCACTCAATACAGATTCTTGCAAAAGTTTCTTTTCATACAACTTTGGAACTGACGTACGGTGTCGGATGTTGTTGTACATTAATGGTTGAGTGAAAGCAGGTTCATCCAATTCATTGTGTCCCCAACGACGGTAACACATGAGGTCGAGAATGATATCCTACAAACGACATCATGTCAACCCTTGAATAAAAAAAGAAGTATGTTCTGTCTTACCTTTCTAAACTTATTACGATACTCGAATACAACGTCCAACGCTCTTGCTACGTCCTCGGGATAATCACCATTGACATGGACAACAGGAACATTAATCATCTTTCCAATATCGGAACAGTATGCAGAAGATCGAGCATTTTGTGCAGGTGTAGTGTACCCTAACTGATTGTTGACGACAATATGGACAGAGCCGCCAGATGAGTAGTGAGGAAGGTTAGACATACCAAAGGATTCCATGACAACGCCTTGTCCTGTAAATGCCTATAAAAAGAATGAGTGTCATCAAGTTATTATACAAATAAAAGACTTACTGCATCACCGTGAATTTGAATACACATTACACGGTCTCCAAGGTTACATGAAGAGTCAGCTGTGGCCAGACGATCTGTCTGCTTCGCTCTGGCTTTACCCATAGCCACAGGGTTGATAGCTTCCAAGTGAGAAGGATTATGGAGTAAGGAGACATGGACCTTTTTACCATGATATTCAAGGTCAGGGTTGTTTGTCAAGTGAGAAATCACGTCACCGGAAGCGAAGGTTCCTTCAGGTAACTCTGAGAAGCCCTTCATTTTGTGGAAGAGAGCGGCATGGGGATAGTTTAGTAAATCACAGAGCAAATTTAGTCGTCCACGATGAGGCATTCCAATGATAACATCCTGTACACCATTCAAAGCCGAGAGCTCAAAGAGTCGATCTAATGCTACCATCATACTTTCTGCTCCTTCGAGACCATAACGCTTTACGTTGGGAAACTTTTTACCAAGAAATTGATCAAACACTTCTGAATTTACCAAGAGCTCATGAATTCGTTTCTTTTGATCTGCTGTAAGTTCAGGTTTTTGCCAACTCTCGACAGCATGATACCACCACCTTCTCTCACTAGCACTCTAAATAAGGAAATTTTTAATATTATAAACTCAGATGACGCGCGTTTAAACTTACAGGTATATGCATAAATTCATAGGCAATTTTCCCACAATAGACAGCTTGAAGGTGGTTCAGGATCGTCTTGAAATCTGCCTCTTCTCCACCACTTGTATTCTCTTGTAAGGCGTCATTTGTATGAAGGATACCTGCAAGATTGTAGCGTTCATCATCTTTGCCCAGACCATATCGTTCGGGTTTCAAGGCAAGTACTTCTCTATAAAATTGTTGTTAGATAGGCATGCCTTTATTTATGGGGCTTATACTTACTTTCTTTTCATTATATTCAGAGGATCTAGCTGAGCGCCTTCATGACCGTGTGTGCGATAAGCTTGGACCATACGTAGTAAGCTACCATACTGGCTACGGTTGGCTAATTCTTGTTCTGTATAATCAGGCAGTTTGAATTCTCTAGGTACTCGGTACCCATAAACACCGTCGTCATGATAATAACGTGTATTTCTAAGCAAGACACGACCTGATCTCGGTTTTTTAACTATATTACAAGAAACAGCTCTGAACATGTGTGAAAAAAATAAAAAGAGTGAGAAAAAGGAGAAGATAAGTAAGCTCTTTATTTATAGTAAGTCCCTTTTTACCACGCAAAACACCTACATTGGCCCACGGTCACCTGATCGAATCCAAATCAGTTTTAGTTGTAGCTGTTATTACAAGATGCTTTTTGATATACTTGTTAAATTCAAGGCCATAAAATCAGATTTAAATAACACAAGCACTATCCTTTGCTCTTACTGCTTTATTTTCCCTCTATTATTTACTTGTAAATGCAAATGACAAGTGCCTGGGAAATGTTAAACTATTGGCTGTCGTTCAATGTACAACGTCCAATGAGAACCTCGATTCCCTGATTTCTAAAGGGGTTGATTTACGATTGATTTCATTCTTAAATACCTTTACTGGCATGGAATAAGCGTAATGAGCTAACACGATATTTTGTTAGTCCTTTTAATATACTATTGATTAAAGAGAATGATACGAGTAACTGGAGCAAAAGCATTATTAACACTTTATTCAGAATTTATTCACACACTGGTAGAGAAATGATAATTTCGATGACAATCGATATAAATAATAGTCTATCAGAGTCAAGCGAATGAGAGGATATAATCAGAGCTTATCTTTGCGTGTGATTAGTAAAAATATCAGTCAAAGATGGAGGCAGCTGTCACAGGCGAAGCTAATGATCGTTTAGACCAAAAGTGACATTCACTTCAGAGTAGAGTCTTTGAAGAAGCAAAACCACAGTAACCCTCATTAAGAAAGGATAGGCATTCCAGAGATACAAGAGGCAGAAAAAAAAAAAAAAGAATCCAGCGGGAGCCTACTGAAACATCTGATGTTGACGTATCTTTATTTTACAAAGAATATGGCCAAACATGAGAAATAAGTATCCAGATGCAATGCTAGTTGACATTAGGAAAAAAAAACAGATAAGCTAAAAATGGATTTCTCCCTTATCTCTTTTTTTGTCCTCTTTTGGTCTATTGAGCTTTTTGTTTTTGAAGAAGAAAAGTAAGGCATCTTCCATGACCTATGTTTTAACATCATTTGATTTATCAACCTTCTACGTGACAGTCAGAGCTGTGTAATAATGAACTCACATTTTATCTTGCAGTAAAAGCTAGTAGTGGTCAGGAACAGTAGCATCTGGTCTTGAATTACGCATAACAGTATACAAATATTTTCATTAGAAAGGGAAAATAAAAGGATTCATACCAATGGATGATTTGTATATTCATCATTCTTTACATATTCAAGTCTACTTGAGATAACTCGATCTTTACCTTGCATTATGCACATATTACTGTAACCATTCAAGGGACGTCCATCCTCTGACAATGGCTTACCACACTGATTCGCTCTGATTTGTAATTTGAAAGAGCGACTGAGTCTCAGTGGAGTGCGGGGTAAAAGATTGCATGTGAAGGTGGCAAGGTCCCTTGTCAACAGTACGAAATTTATAATACAAAATATACGGTGGATAAACCTTGGAGCGGAAAGGTTCGTAAGAGGTGTGTTAGAAGTGCAAGAGTACCTAATTGTTCATCGTTTGCACTTTAAACTCCTTCTCTCTCTTTTTTTTCCTTTAATTTTTTTTTAAAAAACATCACCCCCCTCTCTCTCTTTTTTATTTCCAGGTAAAAAAGATGTTGAAGTTCTTGCAATCTTCCAAGGCAGTAAGTAAAATATCGTGTCTATCTGTCAACTTGTGATTAACGTTTCTAATTAGTTATCTGCAGTTAGTAAGTTTAAATCCAGTAAATTAAGAATGCAACATAACAGAGAAACTTATAGAATCCAACACTGTTCGAATGACCACTCGTGGTCTTCACGTTTCTAAGCCTGCTATGCAAGTTATGGCTACCAACCCTCTTCGCGCCAAAGAGGCTTCCGTATGTTGCATATCCTTGCGTAAAATATAAATATCTCATTTATTTCCAGGGACCTATTGCAAGCAAATATCCTGTTATTGATCACGAATATGATGCCGTCGTCGTTGGTGCTGGTGGCGCCGGTCTTCGTGCAGCTTTCGGTCTTGCTGAAGCTGGTTTCAACACAGCTTGTATCACTAAGCTGTTCCCTACTCGTTCTCATACCGTCGCTGCTCAAGTAAATGCTTGATATTAACAATTAGCAACTTGACTCACATTTAGCATAGGGTGGTATCAATGCCGCTCTTGGTAACATGACAGAAGACGATTGGAGATGGCACATGTACGATACTGTCAAAGGTTCAGACTGGCTTGGTGACCAGGACGCTATTCACTACATGTGTCGTGAAGCTCCCAATACTGTCATCGAACTCGAACATTACGGTGTGCCTTTCTCCAGAACTCCTGAAGGCAAGATCTATCAACGTGCCTTTGGTGGTCAAAGTTTGAAGTTCGGCAAAGGTAATTGTTTTTTTTTTTTTTTTGATATACATCCCTCTACTGACACTATACACATTTAGGTGGTCAAGCTTACCGTTGTGCTGCTGTGGCCGATCGTACTGGTCATGCTATTCTTCACACCTTATACGGTCAATCCCTTCGTCATAGCACCAACTACTTTATCGAATACTTCGCTCTCGACTTGATCATGGAAGATGGCGAATGTAAGGGTGTTATTGCCTTGAACATGGAAGATGGTACCCTTCACCGTTTCAGATCTCACAAGACCGTCCTTGCCACTGGTGGCTACGGTCGCGCCTACTTCTCTTGTACTTCTGCTCACACCTGTACTGGTGACGGTAACGCCATGGTCGCTCGTGCTGGTCTTCCTCTTCAAGATTTGGAATTTGTCCAATTCCACCCTACTGGTATCTACGGCTCTGGCTGTTTGATCACTGAAGGTTCTCGTGGTGAAGGTGGATACCTTGTCAACTCTGCTGGTGAACGTTTCATGGAACGTTATGCTCCTACCGCCAAGGATTTAGCTTCTCGTGACGTTGTCTCTCGTGCTATGACTATGGAAATCAAGGCCGGTCGTGGTGTTGGTGCCGAAAAGGATCACATCTACCTCCAACTTCACCACCTTCCTGCCTCTGTTCTTAAGGAACGTTTGCCCGGTATCTCTGAAACCGCTGCTATTTTCGCTGGCGTTGATGTTACAAAGGAACCTATTCCTGTCTTGCCTACTGTCCACTATAACATGGGTGGTATCCCTACTCGCTACACTGGTGAAGTTCTCACTGTCAATGAAAAGGGTGAAGATCAAGTTGTCCCTGGTCTCTATGCTGCTGGTGAAGCTGCCTGTGTCTCTGTCCACGGTGCTAACCGTTTGGGTGCTAACTCCTTGTTAGATATTGTTGTCTTTGGTCGTGCTGTTGCTCACCACATTGCCGACACTCTTGAACCCAATACCCCCTTGAAGCCTTTTGCTGCTGATGCCGGTGCTGACACCATTGCCAACTTGGATAAACTCAGAAACGCCAGCGGGCCCAAGCGTACTGCTGAAATTCGTCTTGCCATGCAGAAGGCCATGCAAGCTGATGCTGCTGTCTTCAGAACTCAAGAGACTCTTGATGAAGGTAAGATATGAAAAAACATAAGGATAAACACTCAACGATGGTTATTATAGGTTGTACCAAGATTGACAAGATCTGGCACTCATTCAAAGATGTTGGTGTGACCGATCGTGGTATGATCTGGAACACTGATTTGGTTGAAACCTTGGAACTTCAAAACTTGTTGACCTGTGCCTCACAAACTATGCACGCTGCTGCTGTTCGTAAGGAATCCCGTGGTGCCCACGCACGTGATGACTACCCTGATCGTGATGATGAAAACTGGATGAAGCACACACTCTCTTGGCAAGACCAAGAGACTGGTGAAGTTAAGCTTGATTACCGTGGTGTTACCGCCACTACTCTTGATGAAGCTGAATGCAAGCCTGTTCCTCCTTTTGCTCGTGTTTACTAATTAAACACATAAAAACCGCTTATTCCTGTTTCATTTTTAATTTTTGACTGCATACATAAAAGCAAACACTTTACAAAAAAAATCCCCCTTTAACGATGACGTATCGTCAGTCTCAGAGGAGTGTGACTATGCTCTCTTTCACATTAATAATGTTGGCAGGTTCTTCGTCACCTTATTTATTGAGAAATAAAGATGCTCGTTAAAGTCAAGGTGAGAGAAAGTTTGAAAGAAGAAGAAACGAATGATTAACTTTAACCTAGACTCTGACTGGAAAAGAAGTACGCGCGGATTTAAAGAGAAATGTATATACATTCTAATGAGTTGTTGTAGATCGAAATTGATATTGAACCAAGTGATAAAATCTCTCGCATAAAGGAACGTGTTGAAGAAAAGGAAGGCATCCCTCCACAACAACAAAGACTGATTTACAGTGGAAAGCAAATGTAATAAGAATCCTTTGTTTATTTCCATTTTGTTTTTTTAATCTTTGAAAAAAATAGGTCTGATGAGATGACAGCGAGTCAGTATGGTATTGAAGGAGGCTCAGTTCTTCACTTGGTATTAGCACTTCGTGGTGGACAATAAACGAGCTCCTTTTATTTTTAAAGTGAATAAAATATCTATCTAATAGCTATGGCTGATAACTTTGGTAATCTACAAATGTATAGTTCGTGATGAGTTCTGGTGCTTCTTCAAATACGACCATCATCCCTAGAAGCATATGAAAGGTATTATGACAGTGGACAGCCCATATACCGGGATTATCCTACAGAAAAAAAGATAAGTTTATAGGCAGAGTGGATGCAGAGCAGTTTACTTACTGCAATAATACGGATTTTCGACCAACCACAACCGACTGCTTCTGTAGAACTTGTTTCGTGTTCACGGTATAGACTTCTATCTATATTAGGGTATACTAACGTAACATCTTTCATTATCGGATGCGGTACATTTCGAATATGTCCATCTCTTTCTTCATCGTATTCGCCCTTACCATTGGCGATCTCCCAGTGAGAGTGACCATGCGTATGCCAAGGATGGCTGCGGCAAGGTTGGCCAGGATAATGTGTGGACTGGATGACGATATCGATGATCTCATAGTGCCCTATGGGATAAGTACCTAAATGAGGATCATATCCATTAGGTTGTCTGTTGAACGCATCGGGTGCTTTGCGTCTATTGGTAAATAAATCATAAAGTATCGGACGCTGGTTGTTTGCCTGTTCCTGAAATGCCACGCCGTTGACGTAAAACCGAGATTGTCCCCTGTGCTGACGCATTTCGACCGTTCGAAGCTTGATCGTCCTACTCGCAGGTCTGTAGACAACAGGATCAACACCATAGAGAGGATACAAGTGAGGCCAAACCCAATTGACTACTTCTTCATAATCAAAAGTTACACGATGCACTGGAAGTGCAAGAACGGTCGGCTTTTTTAATCGCAGAGATCGATCTACATCAGGACGTACGGTTCGATAATGCATGACGCCGTAACCATTTGTGAGTTTAGGCACACCATCAGACCAGTTACGTATCACTTCTATGCTATAATCGTCTGGTTCCTGATCCGTGTGAAGTAGAGCCGAGAATCGTTGACCTGGGGTCACCTCTAAATGACTGATAGTATAGGGCTCGATAAGCTCGCCGTCGACTTCGATGATGGTCAAATTATGATTAGCAATACCAAAGAGCAACGTACGGAAGGCTGTAGCACCAATCACTCGTAATCGATAAACCTTATTTGGCTGCACAGGCAAAATTTCATATCCTTCGCATTGGGATACAGATACATGGCTCGAATTAAACAGCGTCCGACCATTAATTAAAACACTATCCGCTTCAGGAATATTAGTAAATTTAGGACCCATCAGCCAATCTTCTACACCAAGTCGAGTCTGGTGCCACCATTCACTAAGAAGTATGGTTCGTTCAAAGTCATACTCATAAGGACCCGCAATCAACTTGCGAGATATCCCGTCCATCAAGAGTTCCTCTTCTGGTGTCAAGTTTTCTGGGTGAGCATCTTTTGATTCATAAATGATAATGGGTCCAAACACAGTTTCTTCTTGTAAGCCGAGGTGAGCATGATAAAAATACGTGCCTGCTTGGTTGACAACTCGAAATTCATGAACATAATCTTCACCGGGTCGAATGGGTAGTTGTGTCAGAAAGGGGACACCGTCCGCATGATTTGATCCATACTGCTTTATACCGTGAAAATGGATCGCCAATGCCTGTGACTTACGGTTACCAGTCTCTATTTGGTTACGAATTAAAACTCGAATTCTATCGCCTTGATTAGCCACAATAGGTGGACCGGGCATTTGTTTGTTGATCATCAAGACAGGAGGTGAATGGTCAGAACAATCGGGATTTTTCTGCTCTTGAGTGATATTAAATTCATAGTAACGAAGCACACCTTCGTTCGTATTGAAGGGATTACTGGAATATATGTCAATTGCCATGGCTACCTTCAGTAACCAAAGTAGCAGTTGTGCCACTATAAATTTCCGAGTCATTTTTCTACACGCAAAAGTAGGAAAAATACAGGTGAAAAAAATACAAGGACCTGGTTTCATGGGTTTTTATGAAATATTCTAAAGCTACCCGACGAGCTGTCATGATGTTAAAGAGAAGAAATGTTTAAAGGGATATTCTCGTAGATAGAAAAAAATGGAAAAACCATTTTAACGCCCCTCTCTAGGTGGGAACGACTTTATCATTGGATTTGGCAGGTCGAACTCCGGTTTTCCTTTTAGGAAAATAATTTTACCCCACTTTTTTAACCCCAAATTGAAAGAGATTTCAAACCTTTTCTCTTTTTCTTATTTTTTTAATAATATGGACAACAACACAGAACAACCTGTTAAAATCAGAAAGAAACCAGGTCGTAAACCTAATCCTGCTTCTCCTGCCCTTCGTAAAGCACAGAACCGAGCTGCTCAAAGAGCATTTAGAGAACGAAAAGAACGACATATGCGTGAGCTAGAAGTGTCTATTAAACAAATTCGAGAACAACGAGATAAATTACTATCAGAAAATGAACAATTAAAGGCAGATTCAGAAATACTAAAGTCAGAAAATTGGTATCTCAAAGGCATCGTCCTTTCACTTCAACTCGTCTGCTTCCAGCATAACCTCGTCATCCCTCAGCATAGCCCATATATTAACGAACAAGCCTTGTCAGTACTGGCTCAATCAATACCTGAACCAATTGCAACATATATTAATATCAATGCAAATAATAAAGCACCTACACCGTCGAAATTCTTTGGCTATAGACATACAATGCGACAGAGAGACAGACACCTCTCGTATGGCTCTACAGTGATTTCCAAAGAAGGCGCCCATTCCGCGCCCGAACATCCCTTGCATCCATCGTCTGTGTCATGCAATTCGAAACCAGAGCCAATCACTCATGAGAATACAAAATCATCTACTCCTAATATGTACGAAGATCTTGTGCATCCACTGCAGTCAATGTCTAGTAATAACACTATCAATATACCGCCACTATCACCGTCTACAGACTACCAGCAGCCTCATGAAGACAATAAAGGTGTGCCTCCTAAGCCAGTCATGCTAAGAAATGAACCAGTTACTTCTAATTTAGCTGCGATTCAAGCCCTTCGTCTGAGACTTCGACTTCAATCTGCATGCATAAGCATGGACAGTGTACCTGTTGCTGTTCAACCTACTCTTCTTCAGGTATTGTTATCGTAGAAGCAAAGCAAGAATAGATGAATAACGTATTTTTAAATAGCTCACGATCCCTCATGACCCCCGTATTGACCTCATCCCGACCCCACACATGCGTGATAGAATGATTCTATTTAGAGATCAATTCGATCTAGATGATTGTTTCCGCTGTCTTTTAAGTGGTTCTGTATTCCATGGAGGAGACCCGGCTGTTGCCGCCAATTGGCAATTACCTGCCGAATTCTTTGAAAAGTACTGGTTTTTGACAATTGACTATGACCTTCGACGTACTACCAACCGTTGGAGAAGACTCCAAGGTCTAAATGATATCGATTTTGAACAGCGACAAAGACAGCTACATCAACAGTTGGAAGAAAAGAAAAATATTGAACAACAGCCCTTATTAGAACAAGTGCCGAATTTAAACTATGCTGATATTTCTGCTCTTTTGGGTATTGAATTTCAAAAGATTGCAGCCAAGGAGCAACAACAGCAGTTACTGCGGCGTCAGCAACAACAGCAGCAACAAGCATCCTATGCCTCTTCATTATCTTCAGATTGTTCTACTTCATCACAAAATCATCATTCACCGCATTCAAGTCATGAACAAGATGATACAATGTCTGTATTTGAGCCAATACGACTAACAGAGGGAGACTCTTTATCTTATTTCCGACAAAAGAAGAAACATCAAGAGAAGCACAAGACGTTCATACAATCAATAGAACATGAAATGAATCAAACATGGGAACCAATGCTGACAGACTCATTAACAGATAATTATGACACAATGATGGACACCATTTTGGACACAGAACACTTGAGCTAATCATCCTTTATTATTTATTCAATTTCCTCTCTTTCGTTTTGCAACTTGCAATAAACTTTTGTGTAACTAATATTGTCTACAATGGCATAAAAGGGATATGTATTTTCCGTATTACGTTTGTGATTGTGGATGATACATTCACTGTCTTATCAATTTCTATTGGCTAACATAACAGATGTACTTTACAAAGAGTTGAATATATATATTTATCTTGTGTGTAATTACAAGCCACTTCATTGTGAGTTTCTGACTTTAGTCTTTTCCTTATACATACAGTCATAGAGTTTCTTAAAGAGTTTAAGCAAGGCATACACGTACACACATCATTGTTCTATTGATACAGTCATGTATTGGAGGGAATTATCAAACAAAGAGAACTAGTACAGATGAGGCCTAGTATGCTTTACTGTATTTTTATTAATTATTGACGTTAATTTTATAAAATATTGTCGTAAAATAAAAAAAAATATTTCGTAAAAAGGCGACAAAGAAAAATATGTTTGAATAATACGACATCATGTCAAAAGAGAGAGAGAGATAATGAGTATATGTAGAAAAAGAGAGAAAAAGTATGCTAGTATTAGAGCACATATCCTAATATTAGTTTTACCTACCACCAAGGTGCATTCTGGGGAGGGTAGCGATAACTACCCAGGATGATTTAAACAAAAAAAAAAAGGAACGGAGGACAGAGAGAACCCAGGGCGTCAGAAGAGACTATTGGGGAACGTTCCAGATACACGCCAGAGAGCAAAGAGGGCGGGACAAGCGAGCCAGAGCAAGGACCATGAGGACAGGCTAGTTTTGATTGGTGAATCTTTGAACACTCAGAGGGACATTTGATAACTGCTGTAAAGAAGCAAAAAAAGGACCCAATTAAAATGGGTTTTTATATGTTTTTCTTTTTCAAACAAGCTTCAGGATCAGGTACCTGGAACAAAGAAATCATGTCAAATAGAAGCAATCTGCTTCGTGGCCATTCAAGAATATGCATTGCCAAATATGACTACATGTTCTTCTGATTTCATGGAAAAACCGAATAAAGAATTTAAGCTTTTACAAAGAGACTAAAGAGGGCTATTTCAAATATTAAGTTAATTTCAACTCCAAGGCAGCCCACCTGTTAATATTACTATCAAATGAGATAGTGAGCCATATTCTTTTTGTATTTGTTATTACTCTGACAACATTACAACGGTTTCAATACGACATCTCAATTTGGAAATACAGTATCTCCATGGATGTCAGGGCTGATACTACGAAAATATTCTTGGTAACGGCGAATTTACATTTCATACAACATGAATTTTGTTCTCACCATTGAGTGCATTTATTTTCGATCACAGGCGAATTTACTTTCCGGAAAGACTGTATAACTTTTTTCTTTCTTTCTTTTTTTACTATCTGCGAATGTAAATTAAATTTGCCATTATGGGAATGGAATGTATGGAAGCATATTCAGTAGAACTTTATGATTGATCATTTCTGCTTAATATGGACAGTTTTTTATGGAAGATCTAGCCTTGTATTTCAATTTACAGAGGCTTCATTTGCTAGAATGTTATGAGAAATAGCAGCAGAAACAAGGATGACTATGCTTTACTACAAATACTTTTTGAACTTGATCAAACACACAAAAGCTTCTAGACATGTTACGATTTCTATTTTTGTCAACTTGCGACTTCAAAATTGGACGCAGCGTCGATATTGATTAAGGTGGTGTATTACAAATAAATATATATAAAAACAAAAGGGAAGAATTAATGTACTTTTTAAGCTTATCAATGGCTGTACAAATGTTAAATATCTTCTTTAAGACGATATCTATTATCCAGTTTCTTTTCATTGATTGCTTTTTGATACAGTCGCAAATAATCATACAATGGTCCTTGCTCGTCTCCTCGATCCCATGCAAGAGATAAAGCACTTTGCATCATCCTTGTCACATAAGCTTCATAATCCTCTGAAGACCGCATCAACTGTTTATAGTCTTCTGACGCTGTCTGTATTGCTCGCTCAAGCGATCCGTGCTCTTGAGTATTGAATAGATAAGCATTGAAATCAACACTTGATCGTCTATCAACCAAGAATTCACTTAATCCACCCGCTCCAGTTGAAATGACAGCTGAGCCATGAGCCATACCTTCAACAGCCACAAGTCCAAAGCTTTCAGTCTCACTTGGCACATACACAAAGTCAGCTGCAGCCCTATAGTAAGAAAGCCATTGCTCCTGTTGGCGTACGGTCGTCATCAAGATGACCTGGTCTGGATTCTCTTTGGCTAGCTGTTCGACCCACTCAAGCGGATAATTATTGGGCTGTCCTATAATTGCAAACTTGATGTTGTATTGTCTAAAGTAACTGATTGCTTCTGCAAAAGTTTCAAGACCCTTGTTGTATTGGAACCGTCCGACATAGAGCACAAGCGGTTTATGAAGATCTTGAGGTAAAAGTTGACCTTGTGCAACCAGGAACTGTTTCGCGAGTCTCTTGGTCTCTGACTTGAGGGGCGTAGAGAAATTGAGGCCGTTCTTGACCAGCTTCGGTTCCGTGAATGGATTGGTGCTTGGGCTTAGAGCCACACCGTGGCTAATTCCGTAAAAGTTCTTTTTCTCAGCCTTTTTTAAGAGTGAGTTCATGATGACTTCCTTGAGGTAAAAATCTAGACTGCCTTCTGTCATAGATTTAGCCATTTTCCTGCTGACAAATGTGACTACATCTGCAGTGTCGATCGCTAGCGGAGACATAAATACTTTATTACTGCCAAACATGTACGGAGAGAGCCTTTCTTGGATATTTTCTCGGCTGTTTGTCCAAAACTTGTCAACATTTTCTAGTTTGTTTGTATATTGAAGCTCGTCCAAGTAATCATGCATTGTATAGACAACTGTCGGAGGTGTACTTGTGAATTTCTGGCTGGCAAAGTCCTTCATGTATTTGGCAACATATCCATTCGTCGCTCCGTGTAAATGGACTACATCGACATGAGGCGGTGTTGCAGCAAGAGGCGCAAACAGGCTCTGTTCATGCCTTCCTGTGGCTCTCCAGATGATAAAAGAGGCTACTGCTTTGCAAAAGTACTGATCCTTCCATTCCTGAGGCAACTGGCTTGGCGTAGAGTATAGTTGGGTAATAGAGTTGGCGTGAAACGATTTGTGTAGCGGATAAATTTTACCAGGCCCAATGAGATAAACCCTCATCGTCTTGTTTGCATGTAGCGTCTTGGACATTAAGGCCGCTTTTTCCTCTTTTGGCAGTGAACCAAACCGTGGAATTGGATTGAAGTCGTAGACCATTTGGTACACCTTAAATTCGACAGGTGTCGCCTTTCCTTGATCATCTTTAAATGTAGTAACCATTTCGACAGCTGTCCTGATCGGATACTGTTCCTGTTTCTTTAAAAATGAATAATAGGGCATAACCACAACTGGCTTGATTCGGCCAGATTGGAGCTGTGCCTGGGCAAGTGCCGTCAATGCTGTTCCCATACCACCCATGGTTGCTATTCCAAACTCTTTGGTTACATGATATACATTGGTCTGAGAAGGTAGCTGAATTGGCGTTGTGTCTAATTCATGATATGGTATTTTGGGATAAATACGGATATCTAACAAAACAAGTCAATATATACAATAAAAAAGGAGAATGGTTCGTACCAAATCGTACTGGTTCGTTAGTTGATTGTAGTAATATTGAACTTGTGATAAACAAGATAAACTCTGTTACTGCTACAATACAAAACACAGCTTGAACATAATTCCACCATCTCCATCGTCGTAACAGTGATCTCAAATATGCTTTTGTCTGTCTTTTTTGTTGTTGGCTGCTAGTCCTGTCATTGCTGTCTATGGTGACTGCAGAATACTCTTTTTGTATCATAAAAAAAAAAAGAAAAAGAAAAAAGAAATAAAAGGAGGATATATACCTCAAAATTTAAAAATGCCCTAATTATAGGCTTTTTGCTTAAAATGGTGATTTTTCATACTCCCCCTCAGAGTCGAGATTATTGTGCCCCTCTTTAAACACTCGCATAAAAGAGAAACAAAGAAAGAAAGAAAGAAAAAGGTTTAATAAAAGAAAGTGAATAAATATATAGCAGAGGTATGAAACAAAACTTTCAAAAAAAAAAGAGAGAGAGAGAGAAAAAGAACAAGAATACATAAAAGAGTAAAGTAAAACAATAGAAGCGGAATGCCAATTCACGATCAAGACCAAAAGTACCATTTGTGACTCTCGCTTTCTCGTTTCCTTTTTTTATTCATCAATGGCTTTACCGCGTCCACAACAGATTGCCTTCACTCCAGGTGAAATTGAATACATTGCAGGCAATGAAAAAATAAAGATTATTCCAAATGTGCGCTTTCCAGATATATCACTTATTCAGGTCAGTTTAATTCTTGATAATGAAACATGCTCTAAATGTTATTATAGGGAGACATTCGAAAGTTTCGGCCACCATTATCTGTTGAAGTACCATTATGGATAGCACTCATATTAAAAGCCGAACACAAATGTAATATCATATGTCCTGATTGGCTTACTGTTGGTAATAAGTATATTTATAAGTTGTATTGACAAGATCTAATCATGTTTACATAGATCACTTGAAAAAGAGACAAGAAGAAGAAGAAAAAGAAGAAGAGTTTAGTCGACTACCGTTTCATTATATGGAAATATCTCAACTCTTGATCGAAACGTAATAGCAAACATATAATGTCCTTTCTTTTTAACCAATAAGAAAAATAGAGCCCCTGACGACGTACCAAATGTAGAACAGATACGAACCATTCTAAAAAATATTAGAGAAACACGGCAAGTGAAGGCAAGAATAGGTTTAGAATATCTTGATGATAAATGGCTTGGAGTAAAACAAGGACAAAAAGAAAATAGACTTTATTTGCTTATCTTTTTCTTTTTTATGTTTAGATGAGTCGTTTATCATTGATGGAGATCAATCAGATCAAACCCTTCTTTTCTAAAGCATTTGAAGAAATGAGACGATTGAATGTAAAAGAAAATAACCCAGGACATTAATGTATATATAGAAGATACCATTTTAAATAAAACGTGGCAGAATAGAAAAGGGTTGAATAGGTGCTGTTGACTCTAACTCTAGTGCATAAAACAAGCATGCTTTTGTACGTTCTAATCTATCTGTATTTTTACAGATTTCACCCAAGAGAAACCTAGAATAGTGTTAATGTGTTTAACATAAAAACCAATCTCAACTTACCATGCCTCCGCACAATCCCATCCATTTGATTTCGTCAAATTATCTAATAACCCCTCTGCCATTTGATTATTATCTAGTAGTAAATAAGATTTTGCTAGTTCAAGACGACTAACGACATGATGAGGATCGATCACCAGTGCTTTATCAAATGCTGCCTGTGCTTCTTCAATATCCTTCTTGCCTGCTAGCAATAACTGTCCAAGTACACACCAGACCATAGGATTATGTGTCCAATCAACGCGCTCTGCTTCTCCTACCGCTTTTCTAGCTTCATCTAGCTTACCAAGCTTAATGAACAGCTGAGCTGTCAATAACCATAGGTCAGAAAGGATACGTTCAGATCTTTGCTTTCTAAGAATAGCTCGTTTCGTAGGTTTCATGGGTATATAGGATGGCTGTAAGATGGATTGCCCGCTCATGACAGATGGCGCGACGCTTTGAAATGAACTGACAGAGTTATTTGCTTTTGAATCTAATACAAAATAAACCACGTGTCCTTTTTGTCTACAATGTATCACCTACCGTATGGTATCGCACTCAAAGACTGTGCACTCATATTACCATTCACAGAGCCTTGAGGAGATTCAGTTCCCTTTGGCTTATGACTTGTGCTTCTTGAGCCAAACAAATGCAAGCCATGATGATGTTTGCTGCCTGTACTACCAGTATCAGGCACTGACAAGAGACCTGTACTAGGTCCCAATGAAGGAGCCTTGGACGCCAAGTTTGAGGCCGATCGAGCTCTACCTGTGCGTATAGATGCAGTGGATAGATCATGCGATCTTGATCCGTTTTCTTTCATAATCCCTGTTGCTGTTGTCGCTGAACTCGAGCTTCTTCCCCTGTTCTTCTTTTGTCCCTGCAGATCACTCAAGTTACCAAATGAGCCTGATATGATCATCTCTTGTCCACTACTCTGTGATGCTTCGGGTACAACAGCGATTTTACCATAAGAAGAAAACAAGGTTCCAGAGGACGTCAGTGCAGCTTCGGGCCCATTCAATGCATAGAGTAGCCAAGTATGTGTCATTTGGAATAATATGAATTGTTCGGCTTCGTCATGATCGTCCTTTAACTCGACCTGTTGAAGCCCAATCTCACACGTTTTGAGGGCCTGCTTAAAGTCGCCTTGAATAGGACATGAGACGATGAGGGTGAGTAGATGCCATGAGGGTAAATGGGATGAGTTTGTCTGTAAGGCGTGTGTGATCGATTGGATGGCTTGCCCTATATCATGCATCTCAGCCTGTTGTAGCGCAAGTTGGTAATATGTCTCCCATGCTTGATTGTCTATCTCTAAAGATTGTTTAAGATATGATAATGCCTTTTCATGGTAAATAGGTCGAACTTCGGGGTCAAAAGCTATATAGAAAGAGAATAAGCTACATAATCTCTAAAAGCCATGTCACCATTTTTTTTTTTTTTACTTTGGCATCCTAAAAGTCCATAGGCTACACCAATAGCGCGATGAAGATAGGCGGCTATACTTATTGAAATCTTGGTTTTGTTTTTTTGATAAAGCTCCTTTGCGATCTCTGCCATTTCTACAGCATCTACGCTTTTTGCTAAATCATTACAGTACATTCTGATGGCTGTTATCAAGACCTGCAGCATATCAGATACTTGCTCACTTTCTACATTTTTTATATCTCCAATACAATCGTTCTCATCTTGCGCGTCATCCTCCGGCAGATCGGGTCTAGCTGTTGGGATTGTCATGCTTATGCCGTCTTGATCAATGGCAAGCGCGTCTCCATTTTTATGCGTCTCTGTCCAGTCGTAAGATATTAAGTCGACGAGATGTAGATAGGATCGTAAGGCGTATTCTGCTTCATCATATTCTCCCAATCGATACAGGGTATTGTACAAGTGGCGTGTGATACTCGGAGAATTGAATGTGCGCTGGGCTGCACGATCAAGAACTTCTCTCAGACCGCGTAAATCTTGAGTGGTTGTGCCCATTAGCTCAAAATCAGCCATCAATTGATCTACAAAATCCAAAACTGGCTGATTGACTTGACCCGCTCTTGGCATCGGTACTTGCATGTAAAGCATCTTTTCGTAAATTGCATGTAGCTGAGATAGCTCCGCAATGAACGATTGTCTGTACATCTCATGATCGTCTTCTGATGAACTCCCAGGTGGCACATACTGTCCTGTGCGATAGCTATTGGAAACAAATTGTATAGAGTGTCGTGTGAGAACCATACGCTTGTCAATGCGCCAGTTATTTGCTTGAGTGTTGGTGATTCTTTGGTATTGTCGAATAAATCCGAGTAAAGAAGGCACCTCAACAGACTCTCTAGAGGCGAAACAAAGATGTTAGATAATGGACAACCTTTCCTTTTTTTTTCTATACTTTACTTGTTTGTTAATCCAAGCAGCACTGCTCTATAAAGAGCCATCTCTGCCCATTCAATCCATAACTTATATTTCGTATTTGGGTATTCTGCAACTAAACTTTCTACACCTTCGTATGTTTCAATAGCATGATCCATGTCCCCGCTCAATTCATATGAAATTGCTTTTTTTGGGTTAATATAAAGAATAATGGCCAACAATTGTACCTTTGATAACTCTTGCTTGCAAAAACAGCACGAGACCATAACCTTGGCTTACTTGGTCTTTTGTAAATGATAGTTTGTTGACAAGCTCAATCGCTTGTTCATATTCACCACATTCGAAATGAGAACGTGTCAAGACGATGATGGCAAACTATGACGGCACATGTTTAAAAAAAGCTATATTCTGCAAATGTATCTAGTATTTACTTCTTTTTGTAGCGCAAAGGTATCGTCCTGGTCAGGTAGTTGAATAACGTTTCTTAGTTGTTGCTGAATCGACCTGACTTGCTCAGGATCTAGCCTAGCTTCCAGTGTGGCCATTTTGAGAGCTTTTTCTTGATAGTCTATCGTCTGTTGTTGTTGCTGACGTGCTGACTGACAAAGTTGAGATAAACTAGCTTCAGCAAGAATAGTTTGCTCGAGTACTTTAAACAGTGAATATACAAAATAAAAGACAGGTATAATATTTACTGATTCCTTCCGAGTTATACTTTTTGTATCTCCTTGCTAATTCTGATATAGCAGCCCAATTGCCATTACATCGGGCTGCGTCAATATCCTTACTAATCTGTACTAATTTCGCAGAGGCCATAAAGAAATATAAGAAAAGAAAAAGGGAAAAAAGAGTGTTTTATTTCCAAAATAGCAGTTCAGCCATTTGAGCGGAGTCATGATGTGTGTGTGTGTGTGCGCTAAAGGAGAGAAAGTGTGTGTAGACAAAGAGCATAATGGGACTTGTTCTTAAAATGGATGATTATGATGAGTAATGATACACTTTTTATTTTTGAATAAATACACGAGATTAACTTTTAATACTTTTTTTATATAAATTATGATCGTCTTCTCTTCAACTCCTCAATTTCTTGCTTTAATTGAGCCACTTCATTCTCTTTGACATAGACTCGGTGTCGTAGTGCTCCAATATAGTCAATAGCTATTGAAAAGTTAATACAAGGTATAATTATTATGCTGTGTTACATTACATTTACTCAATATTTCCCATTTGCTGGTTTTTAGGGATTTGTCTACTGGAAGTGCTTTTCTTAGCTCATCAAACAATTCCTTCATCTCTTGTCTTCTCTTTCTTTCTGCTAGTTTATGGCTCGCTCTTAGTTCCGGACTTCTAGCATATCGTCCCTTGGGTGTGCCCTCATGCTGCTGATGTACAACGTATGAGTATAAATATTAAAAAGAACGTGTTTTGTTACCAATGAAGAAGAAGAAGAGGATATAGAAGAGGTAGAAGCCCTTCGAGAGATATTATTTTCATCCTCACTTAATATTAATGCTGTAATTCGATTGCTACTATCCCTCCGACCGGTTGCCATAGTTGCCATCGAATTTCGTCGCATAGGGTCCTTTGCATAAAAATAATGCGGTGAGGATTGATGCTGATGATAGGGCGGTGTTGAAGGTGCAGAGTAAGGTATAGGATAAGGTGCAGGATACTTATATTCAGGTTCAATGATGTTGGCTATAGAATGACGTCTCTGTTGCTGTTGCTCTGCAGGATCAATAATTCTCTTTAATAAAGGGTGATGCTCTTTAAAAGACATTGTTGAGAGTTTATTTCGAACATGCTCGTCTTCGGTGGGGTTTGCTATTGTTTCAAGTGAGGGCAGTTGCCTAGTAACAAAATACTCTTTTGGTACATCTTTTAGTTAGCTTATATATAAAAAACATCATGTTTTCATAGTTACTTTCAACTGCTACATTTTCATGAATAGTTTGGTGTACTGCCATGTTTTGCATTTCTTGAGATGAAGACATTGTGTAAATAAAAAGAAAAGAAAAAAAAGAAAATGAAAAAATAAGCTTTTTTTTTAAAAAAAAAAAAAAAATACAGTTACACCTGTAAAAAACTTTTGGCATAATTTGTCTTTTTTTCTTTCCTTATTCGAACCACATCAGATAAATTGTAACTTTTGTTTCTTTAAGGCTGAATCTTTGTATATTTTTTCTCTAGATTCAAAATCCCCTTTTTGTTTACCTCTTTTTTTATTATTCCCTTGCAGCAGATTGCATGGTTACAGCCACTGCTGACATTTAACCCGCTGTCGGTTTTTGGCACCTCGTGTTGACAACGTGGATGCACCGGGAAAAAAAATTTTCTTTTGCGACCCTTTATATTATTATTTCTTGCAGAGTGCTTTAGCACACAGATTTACTATTATAGCTCACAATAGATGTCTTTGTGTACGCTTATGTGCGTAAAGAGACGTATTAGATAAACAATAAAAAGCCAGTGAAAAAAATGATCGATCTTTGTAAAACAGTCCCAAATTTATCCCTTTTCTTTACCCAAAAAGGAGTCAATTCTATTTTTTTACTATTTTCTAATGGCACGCAAATCTGAAGGAACAAAACCATCAGAACTGAAAAAAAGACCAGTAAAGGCACCTTTGATAGACAAAATACCTTCTAAATCAGATGCTATTCCTCAAGATGAGCAACTAAGAATATTAAACCAAACTGGTTTATTACAAAAAGTGAAAAAGCGTGAAGCTGAATTGAAACAACAACAACAGCAGCAGCAGCAGCAGCAACAAGAAGGCACAACTTTAGAATATATCTATACCGCCATCTTTTTAAGTATACCCTTTTCAGTTCTTTTAGCTACCTTTGATATTGTAGTTAAAGTACAATATTTTGAGCCTTGGAGTTTCAAAGGAATGGCACTCAAAAGTATCAAATCTGTACCAGGTATATATATTTATACGTGTTTTCGAATATTATTAAACAATATTGCTAGCACTTGCACCATTCATCTATTTGACCTGTCGATATAAATCAGAAAGATTAACTCAAGCTACCATGTCAGTTCTAGCTGTGCTTGCAGGCTCATTTTTACTCTATACCATCAACCATACACCTTCATTAGGCCAAATGATGCGTTCACCGGGATTGGCTACTGTATGGATATACCTCATCATCCAGCTTGATCTTGTACCAGCTACATTATCCCTCGCCATTGTAGCACTGTATTGGTATTTTGGATTAACACAAAAAATGCTTTAAGCTTATTTATTTTTGAATAAATTCTTAATTACGTTTAAAATATCTACGATACACTGCAGTGCCAATGGCCACAGCAGCAACAGTCACTGTGAGCCACTTGATATAAGTTGACTTGCTACGCTTTTCTGCCTTAATAGGCTCCATCTTGTCAGCTCCATTCTTTTGCAAGATATCAATCTCTTCTAGAGTAACAATTGCTTCTTCTTGCTGATCTGGTTTATAGGATGTCACGGCCAATAGACCAGCTTCCGATAGTTCCTGGATTTCATCAAACAAGGTAATATTTAACTCGAATGACTTAACAGCTTCGGTCACAATGAGTTCTAAAAGCAACAACATGAGCACATGTTGCCTTTCTTTTTATCTGTATCTCACCTCTAGTCTTTGCAGTCACTTTGGCAGCATTCAAACGCTCACGGTAAAAATTCTTGAATTCTGCTTGATTTCCTAGGTTATTAAAGTAATAAAAGTTTAATCCGTCGGCAGAGTCCCATTCACCATCCTTTTCATCCAGCTTTAGAATGTGCTTTTTCAAACGCTTGGCAAGTATTTGACCACCTAGTGAACCTTGTCAATAAAATATTATAAAGCATATACACAGTCCATACCGCTCAAATCACCAAGATATCTTGAGTAGCTATGGGCAATTAAGAGAGCAGGATCCTGGTTACAGGCATCTCTCATGGCAGATACATACTTTCTAACTGCTGGTGTCATCGTTTCGGGCTTGGTCAGCTCTTCAACACGATCTGGTCCATAAAAGAATGCCAAGTCTATTAAAGAGTAAATCAAACAATGATTATTTCTATTGTGTGTATTTAACCTTTTTCGAGAGCCTCTCGTCTATTTAATTCTATTGGGAAGTAAATTAATTTGACAACTGGATGTTCTTTATATTCTTCAAGTAGTCCTTCCATATATCTGAGCATATCAGAATAAATATTAAACATCCTGCATAAATGTGTATATAATGCGTGCATTTACCTGTAGACAAAATACAAAGAGTTGATGTATCTACCATACTCATCTGTATTAATATCACCTTTGAGGAAACGTCTGTATCATTATGTGAATGAGTAAAAAGAATGTACAGGAGGGGGTGTACTTACTTTGTAAACACACTAGTTTCTGCAGCACGGTGAATAACCTTGGTTCCTTCGCGCATGGCAGAAGCAAGTTCGGGATTTTCAAGTACCTCTGGTTCTGGTTGCTTTGGTGACTCGGGTGTAACAAGATGCTCCAGCTCCGTTCGTTGAAGGAATTGATTGAGCATCTTGACAAGCGTAATACCTTCATCACAAGAGGGAAGTTCTGCCGAAAACCGTTAATTATTGATAATAAGCTAAAACGCAAGTTTTACCTGTCATGTTCAATGTGGGATGATCTGTTGGGATTTGTGCCATCAAGGACATGACTTCTTCTCTAGATTTGTTAGAAAATGGGCAACCTATTTTAATGGGTTATATATAAAAACAACAAAAATATCCTTGTGCTTTAATAACCTTGCTTGAAAGCAGGGCTTTAAAAAGATAGTGGCATAAGTAAAAAGAGAGAAACATGACCCATTTTATGCATTTACCATCGAGAAACTTCTCCTCTGTTCACTGCAAGTGAATCTAATTCCTCAAGCTTAGCATAAGGACAACCCTTTGAGAAAGCAGGACAAAGATGCTTCAGCTTGTCTACATCAGTCAAAGAATCCAATCCAGGATGAGGGGGCATAGCAATATCGTTATTAGCAGACATGGTAAAGGAAAGAAAGAAAAGGATAAAAAAGGCATCATGTGTGTACAACGGGTTAAATAGGGTACAATGGATGAGTTTATTTTAAAAGACCGATTCTATTCTTTCTTTATAATCAAGCCTTTCAACATATCAAAACTGTTTCCGTCAGGTTGAAGTGTATATCTTTTTCTACTGTCGTCTACGCTGACAGCTTCAAGCATCCCATAATCGCTGGTAATGCCCACAATCCTTGCCTTTTCATTGTTGTGTGTTGTCAAGGTAACCAACTTGTCACTGAAGAAACAAGGTATTAATAAATATGTAAACCTTTTTTTAAAAAAATACCTGTGAAGCCATCGGTTATAATATCTATCGAGAAACCAGTTTCCCATTCCTTTTTCGCAGAATTCCATATAGAACTTTTCGAACGTGACCAAGGCATGAGCCAGTACTTCTTCAGGACCTAGTCTCTGCAGCTTTGGGTCATGTTGCTGAATCACGTCATTTATGGATACGGTTGGTTGAGGATTATTCAAGTTGATACCACATCCAATGACGAGCATAAATTCGTCACGAACAAAGCTTGAATTGACCAAAAGACCACCCACTTTTTTTAATCCGTCCCGAGTATCTGCGTAGATATCGTTTGGCCACTTTAGCCTTAGCGGCACATTTTCATAACCTTCACGTGTTCGAATACTTTCGACAATAGCCAAGGCAATTAAATACTGGATAAAAACAACAGGAGCATTGGAATATTGGAGACTGTGTCGTACAATAAAGCTAAACTGCAAGGCACCACGTTGTGATACCCACGAGTTCTTTCCTCTTCCTACAATAAAAAAATCAGATAAATTTTTTATCAGATCTGATGTGACTTGCCTCTTCCAGCCATTTGATTTGTTGCTAAGCAGACAAGACCACTAGGCAATGTTTGTGAAAAGTTGTAGTTCCTAACAAAAAATTATTGCTTAACAACTTCATGTTCTCTGTTTTGCTTTTTTTTGTTTTGTTTACTTGTCCAAAATCGTTTGTGTGCTCGTAATAACCTCTGAGTAAAACATGACGTTACCAATGCGATACCAGGCACCACCACCCCATTCCTTGTTTCGTCTCTCTAATAACGCTTCGTAATATTTTTCAATATGAAAATAGGGTGTCTGAGATTTCTCTGGATGCACAGGCCCTTGTTGATTCGTTGTAGCTGCATTTTGGCATAGGATCTTTAGTAATGGTTTGTTGTCAGTGAGCGAGAGTTCCTGTACGAAGCTTGCCAAGTCCTTGTCCGCACGCGTAATCAAGAACCGATCATTGACATCTGAAATGATACCATGTTCATCTGCTTCCTCTAACATCCTTGCTGCAACAGCCTCCGCAGTCTCCTGTCGGAGAGCAGTTAGGTAAATAGGTGTCAGCTTGAGTTCAGGCCCAGAGGTAGTATCCACTTTGAGCTTTAGCTTATGAAGTGACTCTGAAAGCATCATGCGACAGAACGGCAATGACTCTGTTAATTCCTTGGTGATTTTATCTTTATCTTTGTTTTCAGATAGATCTGTAAAACGAATGTCATATTCAGGATGCACACCAAATAAAAGTGCAGAACCTTGACCGACTTTACAGAGAACACCAGCGGCTTCATCTGTATCCTTATAGGTGCATATTACCTCTACCCCTCCTATCTTTTTTGCATCTACAAAATATCCACCACCGTTGTAGTATGTCTTGATATCCTGCTGTCCATAGACTACCGAAACTGACCGAGCGCCTTTCTCGCTATTGTACACAAATCCAGGATACATGGTCCCTCTGCACATTCCAGGATAGAAGCCTAACGGTCGTGATCCAATTATCTCAATAGGCGTGCCCTTTTCAAACTCAATCTCTTTAGAGGCATAGTATCCACCAGCACAAAATCCTAAATAGCTGCCGCCTTGGCTGACATAATTCTTTATCTTATCATTTGTTTGTCCTTGCAGATCTTCACAATAAGGACTGTCTCTTCCCCCAGGTACGACAAGAAGTGAACAAGTCTCCTGCCAGGGCTCATTTCTAAGTGTTGTGGCATCCACCTTCATGACATCGTAGGCATGACCGAGCAATGTCTTTAAAGTATTGTACGTTTGTTTGACGGAATTAGGTGATGTTCCGTTACCGCTATAGATCAAAACGTTCATTGCGTTGGTGGTTAAGCTTTTGTAAAACAAAGGATGGAATATGCGCAGATTTGACTTTTATAGTGAAGGGAAAAAAAAGGAAAAAAGAGAAACAAGGGACTCCAAAAATGACAGACTGTTAAATTTCATTTTATTGACAAAAAAAAAACACGTAATTATCGTTTTCGCACTTCAAGTACCAATGCTGCGCCATTCATGATACCGTAAAAGGCCAATGTCTTGCTGTTATTCAATACCGTACCCGCTCCCACAGTTGACAGCTTTTGTTTACCAGCTGGCATTCCCAATTGAGAGGCAATACGATCTTTGAGAGTGGATACGAGTGTATTTGGTAATAAACCACTCACTGTGATAGATGCACCCGTAAGGTTCCATTCTGGTTTATCTGGCAACGATGGCGTATGCACTGTCAGTGTGATAGCATTCTAATAAAGTATATAAGTTTGAGTTGAACAAGAGAATATGATAACAAACTTACTGGATCGAGCATTGCCCAATCAGCCTCGCCATCTGTGCGTGCTTTCTTTTCTGCTCCTGGTCCAGAATCCTCTGCTTTACGTATAGCAGGTGTCATCGGTGGGACAACTGGAGGAGGAGGGGGAGGAACCATGCCGGGCATAGGCATACCGGGCATTGTTGGATTGTACATGCCAGGCACTTGATTTACAAATGTCTGATTGGGGTAATATCCTGGTACAGGTGCAGAAGATACAGAATAAGTAGATGAATAATCTGCCTGTTGGTTAGGAATTTGAGGTCCAATGGAAGTTTCCCTGTTGTGCAATAATTAGTAAGATGCTATACAAATAAGGGGGTGAAAACTTACTGTGAGCCATCAAGTCGTTTATGCATATTAGCAATTTGTTCCTCAAGACTAGATTTCTGTGCTCTTTGATTAGTCAAGGTCATAGTAGCTGTATGACCATCCCAAATGATCTTATCTTTCCTCTTGGCTTCCTCTTCCTTCTGCTTGAATTTGCGAAGTGTTTCTGCTTCGTCTGCGTCAAAGATATCAGGACGTAATCCAGAAAAGTTCTTCAAGTTCTTAGCCACATCTGCGCCATGTTGCAGCAAGTTACTGTCTTTCAACTTGGCTTCATAAGCAGATTTTTGTTCTTTCCACTTGGGATCAAGCAATTCAATACGCATATGTTCGTCCATTTCTGTCACAGGAATTTCTTCGCCACAACGAGGACATGTTTGCATGGGCACTGAAACTTTATTGCCGGCTGCACCTGCCAATTTAGGCTTATAATCTGTACGAATTTTGATAGGACCATTGACCTCTGGTACCTTGGGCACGATTCTGGAGGCAGGGGCTGGTGGCTGCTCTTCCTCAGTAGGTTCTTCGTCTGATGCTTCCATATCCACATCATCTATCTCCATATCTGCCTTCGTTTCTTCTTCCTTTGGTAGCTCAGGCATGGCAGCCATACGCTTTTGAGCTAATGACATGCTTTCTAATTCAGCAAGGCTCATAGGGGGTGGAAGATCGGCTTGCTCATCTGCATCCGTAAATTCGACAGTTTCGACAACAACAAAGTCATTCCAATCGATGCTTGCATAAGCAACTAAAGATACTTCAGTATCATTTTTATACCATGCACACACACACACACTTACTTCGTTCTCTTTCATCTTCATCGCTCTTCTTTTTCTTTTCTGCTTCTTGCCAAGCAACATATTCTACACGTTCTTTAACTCTATCTAAAACATGATATTTATCAGCTTGATTAGATCGTAAACGGCCTAGTGCATCGCTAGTTGGTTTCAATACTTTGGTGTACTGTTCGATAAGCTGAGTAAAGTAAGGGAATAAGCTGTGTGTCGAATGTAAAAAGTCGAATTGGTAGTTTCTTGATTCTCGCTTCATCAATTGTGAAATAAAGTTAAGACCGTTTCGAGCAGCAAATTGAGCAGTCAATTTAATAATGTCACTAGTTCAACATTAGTGTCAAGTATATCAACAGACAAGCTTTTTTTTTTTTCCTTACAGATCTTGTGCCGACATGGCTGGCATGGTGGCAGAGAATAAGAAATCTTCAGGCTTCTTTGGAGCAAGATCAACTGGCGTATCCATAACTACTTGTGTTGTTGGACTAGGAATTACCTCGGCTGGTTGAGCTATTATGAGAATAAGTGAGCAATTTATATACAAATTCATCTTTATATTACCTCTTCCTTCTTTTGCTTCATTAAACTTGAAAAGATAGTATGCATGATAAGGATCTCCTTCTTTTAGAAAGCTAAACTTTCCTTCTTTGTCATTTTCAAGAATATGCTTTGCAAGTTCGGGTGGTTTGGTTGCAAGGTGTGTTGCTGCTTTGTCAATCATTGCTTTTTTTGTGTGTGAATAATTAGTTACTCTTTATATTTTACTTGTTCTTTTTCTCTATATCTTACTTCGAACATTTTGAGGTGGGTAAATAATACCAGAAATAGGTTCTTCAGTGGCGGCTGGCCCATTTGTACTGATTTGATCAATTTCCATCATTTTAAAAAAGAGTGACAGAGAAAAAAAAAAAAGAATGGATAAATTTCGAAAATTTTACAATAAAGGGTTTACATGGCTGCGGATTTAGATTCCGCTTCAGAAGCACTTTTTATTAAGCATGTACATTGGAGGTCTATGAGTGGCCCTTTAAGGCGATTGCACCTGCTACCAATGACGTGATCTGTTGCAGGTCTTGTTCTTTGTCAGAAATTTGATAGGCCTATTAGAATGGTTAATATAATGTCGATATATGCGTGTTATATGTATATATGTATATATATGTATACCTTTTTGATTGCCTTCAAGTCTCTGACAGAAGACAAATTTTCCAGAGGAACCATGTCACCTTTGATGCACTGTTTCATAAAATTCTCTGCCTTCAAAGCAAAGAGGAGTAAGTTTTTATATAAAGATGTACATTAATATATACCTCTTCAGGTGAGTCACCTATTTTGATAGCAATGACATTTGTTGTATGATCTTGTAAACCAAACTGATGAAATGCTTTGGCAATCTATTATTACTGATGAGTTTATTGTGATGTCAATTTTTATGACTTGTCGCTTTACATTGGTATTTGGAGCAAAATCAAAGATGATCTGCGAATAAACACTAGATGTTTTCAGTTTTTGTTGCTCTTGTTCATGAACAGCGCGATTGATAGCTAATAAAGCGTGAAATAGGTTCAAGACCTAAGGTATAGATCAGTAACATTCCTCTTTCTTTAATTTTGCTCATACATATGAGGCATCAACCAGAGCACACATCAGTGTTGCATCCTGATTGGCAAGTCTCTGCTTTAATTCTGAAGCGTTAGACACGTTTTTAAATAAGGCAATATGAACTTGTCCAGCATTGGGAAATAATTCCAATGTAAATGATTCCATGACAGTCAATTTAAAAGGAAAAAAAAAATCTATAAAAAAACACACAAAGGTCAGTGCGCCCACGTAAAAAACAATGTTACTCTAAAGTCATTTGATCAAGCAAAGCCCCCACCCTCTTTTTCCTCTTGTTAATACAAAAAAGGTGTGTGTGTCACCTGGGAAACAACCAGGTTACAAAAAATATATAACGTGAGATGGAGAATGACATCAATATGAGACGGAGCTAACTTCCGGATATTTTAGAGAATGTTCCCTTTTATATAAAAAAACTTTTTAATCATAGAATAATTTAAAGGAGTGTATTCTTAAAAAATTAGCATAGGGTAAAGAATAATAAAAACCAGCCTTTTTGTTGTTGTTGTTGTTGCTCTTGAAATATACAATAAAAAAAATGAATTGTTTGTTCTCTATAGCCGAACAAAGATATAATGAATGAAAAAAAAAAAATGCTTGCTATGTAACTTGAATCATCTTGTATGGTTTTGGAATTGATGTAGTTTTAATTGGGATTGGGCTTCTTTGGACACATCCTGTAAATGAGTAAATGATAAGTATATTGTTGGCAAGGATAAAAGTAAAGTAACCTACATAGAGTAATGTCCCTTTTGACCACAGTGAATGCAACGACCGTCAGACATGTTTATATATTAGCTGTAAGGGGGCTTAGATATATAGTGATGGTATATATATATGTATAAAAATTAAAGAAGATATAAAAGCGTATGAGAGAAAAAAAAAGAAGGAAAAGAAATATCTTTCTTAAATACCTTTAGTATTGTATGACAAATGTAATTACTGAATTTAGACAATAACTTTTTGTTCTGCATGCCGATCTCTTCCGACACGTGGCGAAATGGTAACACAAAAACTATCTAGAGTTTTTATTTTCTATTAAAGTTATCTTTATAATTGCAAACCATTATGTGATCATTCATAACATAAATTATACGATGCAGCAGTGTAACAACAGTAGACTAGGAAACATTTGTTGCTATGGGTACTTCATCAGCTCCGAAAAAATAAACTCAATTTATTACCAATAAACCGGAGTTCTCTCTTGTTTAATGTTGTGTAAAACGTGTTTAATGTAACAAATTCAAAAAATATGTTCACCGCCACGTGGCTATACTCCACTGCTATGAATGTTTTAAAATAATCGTTGCCACGCGAGATGTCAAATTATTTTTATTTCCGATTAAATGTTTGAAGGAAAGGCCATTCTATGCTTTCATGCAACAGGAATACTACAAGGACATTGTATAAATCCTGACAATCAAACTTCACCATACAGTTTAGCCGGTCAACATTTACCTGATTACACTGATCCAGAACATAATGATTGTATGGAACCTGATGAATTTTACAAAGTAATCATTCATTCTCATGACAATAATGAGGACATTGAATTACTATTAAGAAGACAAAAAGACAATGACGCCAGTGGACTTACAACACATGAAAATGACTTGGAATGCAACAATGGCTATACACTTTCGTTTGAAACAGAACAGTTTTTTGCTGGAAGTCAAGCAAAGAGATTAATGACGACTTATTTTTCAAGTAATGGCGATCAAGATGTCGTCATTTGCATTGGCAGCATAGTCCTAAACCAACAGAATATGAACTGAAAGTGTCACAGCGATTATGACTCAGCCATCTTTTCTTATCTTTCCTTTTCTCCTCTATTTTCCCCTTTCGCACGGACATGACAATAAAGATTCAAGTTTTCACAGATTTTGATGGCACTCTTTCGATAGACGGTAAGCCCTGAAGTATAGGTGCTTTGTTGTTTCTAATCTCCACAGACACTGGAATCCTCCTCATTGACGATCATCGATCACTTGGTACTGAACGTAGAAAAGTTTTGGACCACGCCATTTTGAATGGAAGCATAACCTACAGGTAAGATGATTGCATTTGTTCTAGAGATACTAACTATGTCAAAGAGATGCACTTCAGGAGATGTGGGACAATGTTCATATTAGCTGGGAAGAAGCCTGGACAGACCATTTGGATCGTATGTTTTATCAGTTATGATGACAGTAATTTTTGACTTTTTTTGCTAGACTGCCAAATTGACCCTGGATTCCCTTCATTTAATGAATTTTGTCGGGAAAATAACTTTCCTGTCACTGTCTTAAGCAGGTAAGTAAGGGGGTTGATGTCATGAATGAGAGATATTGATATTTCTTTTTTGTAGTGGTCTTTATCCTGTATTAGAAAGAATCATGTTTAACTTTCTCGGAGAAAAGTCCAAGGATATAAAAATAGTTTGTAATAACGCCGAAATTAAAGATAGAACATGGAAAATTATTTGGAGAGATGACAGGTAAATTGTCGTTATGGCTATATTTCTACTCATGATTAATCACCATGTTCTATTCTTAGTGAATATGGCAACGATAAATCTAAGAGTAAGTTTAGTAATTTTGATTCTGCTTTTATTAATATATTTTTAGCCCTTATTGAAGCACGGCAAAACGCTTCCAAGGATACCATCTTTATCTTTTGCGGCGATGGTGTATCTGATATCTCTGCTGCTAGACATGCTGACATCTTATTTGCTCGCAAAGGTCGCGACTTGGAAATTTACTGTCAGCGAGAGAACATTCCATTCATTGCCTTTGATACTTTTGCAGAAATAGAACAGGTTGTTAGAGATTTGGCTCAAGGAAAGTCTAAACTTGAAAAGTCTGACACCGGCTTCTGCAAGATAATTCACGCTTAATAATAGAAAATGCTAATAATCTGAATGTGAATATATTAGAGACTATGTATGCAAGTCCATTGGTTCCGCTTGAAAAAGAATAAAAGCAGCCCTTTCCGATGAAACCTGGCATATTTCCGAAAAAGAAAAAAAAAGAGAGATAACCTTTGCGCACTGGTAAAAGTTAAGTTAGAAAAACAATATCACTATTGCATTATTGAGATAGCTTTCAATATTGGGCTGAAAGCGGTGTTTACAGTGTATGTCATTTGTCTACTTGACCTCGGTTGACACACGAAGTCAATATTTGAGTATCAGACAATATAAAACACAAGCTACCTTTATTTTTATTGCTCTTTTTTTCATTTGCATGCTTTTTGTTGGATTTTTACTATTTTGGCAATGCTATTACACTTTTATACAGTAAGCTCAGGTGTGCTTATAGGAGAATTTTAAGAAAAACTTGCGTATGGTCCTTTAAAGCGCTCTAGGCTCTCTTAATATCACAACGTCCAAAATATTTGACAAGCATCTTGCACACCCGTGTTTTTGGTTATAAATATTATGACAAAAGCGATATGAGTCTTCTAAAATTGAAGCAAGTAAAGAAGACAACAGAAGATTGTTTAAAAGGCAACCAGGATGCTGCTAATTGTACGTTTTAAGACACTTGGAAACGCGCAACATTTAGAGGACAACTTCAGCCTATGAACTGCTATAATTTTTTTTATTCAGAGCTGAACAACATACAGACGTAATCCCTTAAGTTTTTTGAAGACTCCATGACTGACAAGGTTATCTTTTTCTTTAACAGGTGTGCACATCCATAAAATCATTTAGTAACGACGAACAAATAGATGCTAGAATGCAACTCAAGGGAGCTCAGCATAGGCAGACTAGTATGCTTTATAGTCCTGGTTTCATATCAAGTATTGGTAAACGGGTTATGGATGCTCCTGATCTAAAGAATACCTGGGTCAATTTTCCACTACGTAGACATGAACAAAAGACTGTAACGAGTTGCTCAACCTGATAAAAGAGAAAAAGGGCAGGAAGAGATCTAAAATATTTATATGCAACTATTATGGAGGGTGAAATAGAACAAGCTTACAGCTCAAACAGATCGTCGTAAAGAACAAATTATCTCGATTCGCTATAAACCTTTATAATTGCAATGTATAGGCAACAATTCAAAAACATATTTTTCGTAACTCTTCCATTTCGTTAGCACGCTTGCATTCTCTCCGCTAATTGAAATAATAACACACCAATTTCTAGATGTTTCTTTTCCTGCAACTCCTGAGGCCTTTACCCTTTTCCAGCCCTCCTTTCGTTCAACTATCCTAAGCAGTCTCACAAAACGAACACATTACAATATGCCGAAGCATTCGGCAAATCCCCTTTGGAACGACTACCAAAAGCTGACTATAGGCAGCTATTTGTTCAATATCTAAAAATACGCTTAATTTTAAACAACTTCATCATAAAATCATCGTACTGTAAAAAGATGAAGGTATCGTATAAATCTGCTTTAATTCACCAATTTTTTTGATCAACCTAGTCTGTTTCTTGATTTCTGTTTTTGGTTAATGACTAACTAGGCTACATGTGAGTTTTTATTTTTCTGTACTATAGGACAATCGGAAGTAATTAAAATCTACGAACACACTCATTTGGTTCCGTGTAGTGGCCACTAAACAACTTTGTATTGTGCAACGAATATCAGATTGTAAAACCTTTGTGAAATATTCGTAATGTTGCTGAAAGGGAATGCTACTTCAGATAAATTCAATAGAACCACAGACTATATTGTTTTGCGTTTTTGTAGCAGTACCTATGGTAGCTATTCTATTTCCTCTGTTAAGAGCTTTTCTTTTTCTATGTTCTGCTCAGTTTTTTGTTTTTGTATATTATAATAAAAGTAGTACAAGCAAATAAAGGATATCACCTGATTGGAATCACATTACAAAAGAACCTTGTACTTTTGTTTGCTACACCTGTACAAAATTCTGCCTGGTATAATCTAAGGTATCAGTGCGCGCATTTAAGCTCCATAGAATGCGCGTGACTGTCATGTTATTCCTCTTTTCTTTGCTTTTCTTCCTTTTTAAGGTGCGTATACAAGCATATAATCATTACTTTGTATATATGGACATGACTTCCTAAACTTGGTTGATTACAAATTTATATATTCCTGATGTAAAGTTTATTTATAGTAAACCTAAAGTATTTTGTACAAGATTATATCCTATGTTACCATCGACTCTATTTAGAGTGTGTTACATGTTATCCCCCATGCACAGACGTCAAGAAACCGGAGTAAAAACAGAAAAACAACTGGTGTTACTAGCATTAATGAAATTCGTAGTTGGTGTTAATTACGTTTTATTTGAACGAGCTTTTTTTCTTTGTTATCCTGTTGAAAGTACTAATCTAAGCTCTAACATTTTAACTTTAACGCTATATGACATTTCTTGTTGTTGAGCCAAATGCTTGTATCATTTCCCGCAAAATATACGCACACATCTTCAAAGCTTTAGTTTCAGAGTACTTCCCAACCTCTTTTACTTAATCCGATAGCCTGTTAATATTGGTCTTATGACGAGACATCGTTTTCATGAATCTATAATAGTAACAAAGGGTGTAATGTAACTTTCTTGTTAAAAACAACAAAGCAGCATGCTGGATGACCATGCTCGTTTCCCCAATATGCAAGCTATCAATAGATGCAATAAACTTTTTTGTTTTTATTTTCGTTAAATCATCTCTTTTTGAGAATAGCTGCATGAAAAATACTATGCTACACTCGTTTTGAGTTTATGAATATATTATCTTTGGTTTTAATTTCCTGTAGAACCATTTCTGCTTTGCTTGAGCATATATCTCTGTAGTTATCCCGAGTTTAAACCCATAATCTTTGTCCACTTACTTGGTATTAGTCTAACGAATTAAGATATAAATGCGCTCACGTCAGATCAGCGCCAAATGATTTGACAAAACTCTTTAACTGACCATACAGCACTATAAAGAATGTCTAAGGGAGCTTTTCTATTATACTTGATGTTAAAAATAATTTTCTTCTTGAAAATCATGATAAAATTAGTGCTATTCATCGTAAAATAGGAAAAATAAAGAAATAGAAAAATTAAAAAAGCGAAGAAGCGTTACTCCTATGAAGGTAATAAATACAGAAGGCCAGAAACTGTGATGTGTGGTTTTTTTTCTACTTTATAGATATATCCCTCATAGATTTTTATTTCCATATAAAGCGTTTAACTTCACGCGCATTTCCTGAAATATATATAAATTTTCACATGATTCATAAAAGAATCCGTTCGATTTCCAGCCGTTGTTTTATAGACAGCTCATCTAAAAGCTATATTGATATACTATGTACCATCTCATTAATAAGAGAATGGGCAAGAAGCCGGTTAATGAAAAAGGCAAAGAGAGTCCTTATTATCGAAAACTCAAAGAGTTCAAAATGTAGAAAGACTAAAAGAATTGTCTGTTATAATTAAATAATGTAAGGAAAAAAGAAGTTTGCCTTTTCATTAAAATGTATCAAGATAAGATGAAATAATCGCTAATACTCGGTGGTATCCCAAGTAAAGCTAAAATGTGGCACTCGAGTCATTTTGCTATGTAATTGCGGTTGATACATAAAGAAAGTCAAAACAAATGCTTTTTGAGATCAACCTTTATTCTAAGGTATAAAGCAAACATAACATACAAGCAGCAAATATTAATTTTATAAATCGTCTATATAGGATGATACACCACTGCTCTAAGCTTAGATTGTAATTAATGGCAAATAGGCCCTTAGTTGCCAAAATAACCAATTAGATCCCAAAGCCTGTCTTTTTTTCTTAAGCGGTAGTAAATATGTTCTTATTTTTATCATAAGAGATACTGATTTAAAAATAAGGGCAAAAATTTATTATGAAAGAAAGCAATGCTTTATACTCAAACAAAAGGACCTTGTTAATAGACGTGGGTTATTACTGAGAGCTTTAGCATAAACCTCTCTAACGCAAACTCACTTTATTCGTAAAAACTACGGTTGCTTTTAACTTAACATTAGTTAAGAAGAATAGTGTTCAATAATAGAGGTTACAAACTCTTATTTATATACATTGTGCATTTTTTAATTGAAAAAAGATATTGCTGCAGTCAACAAATTATGTATTATTTATATAGCTCTCTTTATGCGTAAATGAGTCTCAACTTTTCTGATCTTTTCAACATGCGCTATTTAGCTTTTATTATAAATGAATTAAATTATGATTGTTTAAACGCCCTGAAGTAAAATATTAAGCAATATAACATTCAACTCTTTAATTTCACAACCCTTTGTAAATATATTATCTTCATCCAAGTTATATTTTAGAGAATTTTGTGATTTATGGACGTAACTATTACAAAAATGTGAATAAGTGTTTTTGATAATCATTATTCAAAATGGATCTGTCTCATATATGAGCTTTCACACTTGAATTAGAGAAGCGTTACAGCACTTTAATTGGGCATCCGCGGTTTTTTCTAAGAATTCCGTGGACTCTCGATTACGGAATACAGCAATACGGAATATTCGCGATATTCGAATATCATTTTCGAAGGACTTCACAACCACTGCTTTAAATTTCCTGCGATATTCATTCAGATTGTCGGCATGCAAGTTTTTTTACGGAATGTCATTCGTGCTCCCGATAGGTATTCCGTAATTGAGAGTTTACTGTTGGCAGCTTATTTTTTTTAGCGTCCATTGTAAGACCACTACATGAAACATTAGGATAAAGTATTTGACAACCTCTACTGTTTCAATTATTTTTAAACACTTTCTTTGCATTTAATTATAATTTTGACGTTAATGCTCTTAAAAAAAAAGTCAAAGTCTCAAGCTTACCATTGTCTGTAATTATAAAATAGTTAAGACGCAAAAATTCATATGTTTTTTACTATGTTTTAATTGATATCTGTTTATGCTAACAGCTATAATATTGTTATTTATCGTAGCCTCG